GCCGAAGAAGGAGGAGTATGTGGAAAACTAAATGTATCTAATTGTTGTTTGGAAATAGACGATGTCGGTGAAGTAGTCCTTCAACTGACCACTGATATTAGGAAGCTAGCCCATGTCCCCGTTCAAACATGGAACGGCTGGCAGGGTGATTTATGGTCTTGGTTACCCGGAGCACCATGGGTGAAACAGCTTTTATTCTACCTGCTATGTGCAGTTGTCGCCTTAATGTTTTTGCCATGTGTTATTCCTTGCTTTGTTCAGTTAATCCAACATGTTGTGACCAACATGCAATTTGCTACTACTGTTTCACCTGATGGCGTTAAGCAAATTCGAGCTGTGCGCCGAACTGCACAGTCAACCGTACGGGTCATATAGTAATGAACTATCAGACACTCCGTAAACAATAATCAACAGTTTATTAGCAAACAAGAAACTAGAATAATTAACTGTATAACAATCCAGCAAAGTCCCACGCGACACAATCAGAAAGAGAGAAAATAAGAAACAAAGATATCCCCACCCATGAGTTCAGCACTGTCCTTCAGATGTTCTCCTTCGAGCTCTTGTTAACCCTGCTCACGGGGGTGATAGTGATAGAGAGAGTCCAAGAATAACAGTCATGCGCCGTGTGGTAACTCCGCTGCTTTTTTTGAACTATAAGTCTGTTTCCCTCACCTCAACAAGGGTTAGAGGGCTCCTTAGTGGTCTTCGTGGTCTTGGAGGATTGGGGGGAGGCGGCGATCTTCTCCGACACCAGCCACGGGACAATCCCTCGCATACCACGATGGCAACGACCATCACCACCAACACGATGAAAAATCCCAACAGCAGGGCGGCGCACACGGGATCGTCCCCTACTCCCATCTTCCCAAGATTGCAATCCAGCGGGATCGGTAAGATTAGTTGGGATAGCCCAGCCCCAGGCTAGCGGCTTGACTGAGGAAGGTCCAAGTGCGCAATGAGCGGCCTACCCAGAATGCCCGTGTTGCCTAGATCTGGGCCGGGCCTTGCAGTTGTTTTTTCCATCCGGGTATAACCGAACCTTAGAGACCCTCCAACAACACATGCGCTTTGGGCAGGAGGCGTGGAAATCCATTTTCCTGCTGCGTATGTGGACCCTGACTCCAGATCCCTGCGGACTAGGCGGATTGACCAGTTGCGCTCTCACTTTTGTAAACAATGGAACATGCTTATGTATGGGTAGCATTTTATTATGCATCCTTAATGTTGGTAGCCCTCGCTTTGTTTGCCTTCTTACTACATATCTTTTGCCCTTGTAAATGTTCTTCTTTTAAGTGCCCATGCTTACGCCGACCACCATCTCCTTCCCCTCCCCACCCTCAAAGTCCGGGAGCACATCCCTCATCCCAGCCTGAGACGCATGCTGTTTAAGTGAAAACTGTTGATTGGTAGTGTTATTGTTACCTTTTTCTATGTTTGATTGGAATATTAGTGCTGGTATGAACAGTGATATTGTTTTGTTTGATTACCTTTGTTTAATTTTGGGAATAGAAATTTCTAGGCCCAAATGACGCATGCGCTTTAGGATAAGGGGGTGTGGAAAGCTATTCTCCCCTCCGCGCATGCTGATCCCAACTCCGGCAGACCATACTGCGTGAACTGCCAGGGCCTCAGATACTTTGGGGTATTTTGTTAACAAAAAAATGGACCTGCTGTTTGGTTTACTTTTAACTCATGTGTTGGCCTCTAGTGTGTTAACTATTCTCTTAATTGTTATTATAATACTTCTTTCCTGTGGCTGCAAATGTCAACCATGTCGACTGCCGTCATGTTCTTCTGGTAATGAGTCGGAGCCTTAGAATAGATTTACATGTTATTGATGGAAAATTTGCCGGGGAGCGAGTTTGTTGTTATATTGCTCTATTTCTGGCCTTTCTCTCTCTTTCTTTTCTGTTATCTTTCACACCACCACGACAGACAGCAATGTTGAGCCACGGGGTGGTGTAGGAGACTGTGTAGGACTTTGTTTGTCTCAACATCGCTGCTGCACCACTACCACTTCCTGGCCTCCGCATCCTGTTGATGCGACAGAGTACGCCTTGAAGGAGACGGGTAGCCCCCGAAGAAACCACGACGTCTGCCCGAAGCGCAAATAACAACATCCCTGGCAGTACCAGCCAGACTGCACCTGCGTGGTCGGGAGGAAATTGAGGCGAGGAAGATGTGCAGAGGCTGAAGGCACCGTGGGCCGACCCTCGCCAGCGAGACCACCATGACCACCGGGGCATGCGCGCATGGAGGTCCACGGGGCGGCACATATTAAATCGTGGGGACTAAGGCGATAAAAGGACTGCATACTCTGTACTGAGGCGTGCGTGCGTTTTCTTGCGTGCATTTTCTTGTGTGCGGGGGTGGCGCGTTTCTTGTGTGCGGGCGCTTTGTGTGTGTGAGTGCATGTGTGCTCCCAAAACATCTCTCTTGTGGACTTCGGCGGAGCTTGGAGCTTGGACCATCATCGATTGCACCGAGACTGAGCCAACGGGACATCGCGGGCTCGTGGTGGTGGTGATTAATCTTGCCGCATCTCTACCATTTCCTAGCTTAGGGATTCCGACTCTCTCTTCCTCTTTCTCCCTGTCCTATCGCTCTTACCAGCCGCTTGTTTAATAAAGGTTACAAGGTTGCCCGGCATCTGACCTCGTTTGTGTCTTAATCTCGCTCTTGGGATCGTTTAAGAACCCTCCCTGATATCGAATCGGGACATCCCCGATATCGGATCGGGACACAGAGGTGCAGCTGATAGGCTCGGCCTTGGTGCAGAGGTGGGTCTGACTTGGAGCCGAGGAATGTTCAAGAAGCTTCTCACAGGGGCCACCACTGTATCCCCCCCTCCCCTGCTACCAGTAACCCCACTACTCATTCAAACCCAGGACAACAGGCAAAGCTGGACTTTACCCAGGACAAAGGGACGATCTGTTCCCACCATGAGAAGGGAGAGGGGCAAAGAGCCCTTAAGATCTGCGCCCTGCTGCCACCAGACAGGAGAAGTGAGGACAACAAGGGCAGCTGAGGATGGAGCTTCTTCCTCTCCTCACAACTCCAGGCAGGTTCTTCAGGGCTGAGTAATGTGGGCAATGGGGGTTCTGGGCAGCTTACCCTGCCCTCAGAACCCCCTGCTTAGTTCTGCTCACCTGCAGCCAAGCATCCATCTCCTCTAAAGTGATTAAATCAGGCTGGCTCTGCAGATGGAAACGCTGGTGGTGCTCCCTGGCCAGGGTCTCTTGAGGAACCGTGCTGAAAACCAGGTACCAGTGGCTCCCAGGAGCGGAGGTCCTGGGTGCATAAACTCTTAGATCCCAGGCATCCCTCAGGCCCTTTTGGCAAAGACTCAGATGCAGCTCGGAGAAGCGGGGGGTGGTGTGCCCCAGGAGGAGGGGGAGCACCAGGGCTGGCTCCATGCTCCCTGCGACACTGCTCTCTCCTTGGAAAGCGCTTTCCAAGCTCCTCTACCCTGGGAAAAACACGTCAGCAGTTCAGCTAATTGAAAACCATTTGCATTGGCGCCAGTAATTGGGAAATCAGTTAACGGTTGTGAGAAGAGAAGGGCCTTTGGGAGCAGTGAGCACTCCCAGCCGTACACCTCCCCGACTGTCCACAGGGAGGGATCTGGCCCTCTCGTTGCTCTGCCTGTTTTGTTGAACAGTGCTCCTGGAAGTGGAGGGCACCAGCAGTACGTCCTCAGCCTAAAGAGAGTTAACTGGGAAGTCAGTCGCCCCTGAGCAGGTATTCTTGACCCTAAAGTGCCACAGAAGACATTACTGTGTGAACAAAGAGTTTTGCTTTAACATTACAGAGACCTAGAGATTGAAATGTGCTTCCGTAGAGGGGCCATGGGAGTGTTTGCTTGGGATTTCTTTGCAACCATGGGTTTTCCCAGAAAATCAATCAAAAGAGCTGAGGGTGCTCCTGTAGCAATGCTGGCTCTTGCACCCAGTGGCTGGATCATTCCCAGTTCAACTGTATCAGATTCACCAAATTCATTTGGGAATCTGAGACAACATTTTGTAGAGACTGGCTGATCTAAGCCAGACTCTAGTTCTTTTCTTCATGGGAGGCCTCAGATAAATCAGGGTTTGTTTTTCTAAGCCTTGCTCCCTGGGATGTCAGAAACTAATGTCCAAGCTGCATTGTGCAACCTCCCCTCACTTGGCAAATGCCTGGTTTTGGAGGCTGTGGGTAGGTGCAGGAATGAAGGGTCCCCAGTGGTGAGACTGGCTTTGCTCTTTAAAGAGGTCAAGCGGGGTCTTTTTTTTTTTTTTTGGAACTTTGCAAAATGAAAACCATATTTCCTGGTGGAGCTGGAAAAGAGTTTGTTTGGTGAGAAACTGTGCTGTGAAGCTGGGCTGCCGAGATATCTACAGGAGCAATTCTCCAAAAGATTATTTCTCTGCACCCTTCCTCTGAGTCCAAGTGGTGTTCAGAGACCACAGGCCAGCAAACAGAGAGGCAGGATGCTCTCCTGGAGGGAGAACTCCCACAGGAGGAAGAAATATGACTGATCCAGATAAGGAGGGGACAAGCATCCTGCCCTCTGATCTGCACCGTCTGCACCGAGAGCCCGTTGGTGACAGCTGCAGCAGGGGATGAAGAAATGTGTCTTCTGGGCACCGTGCTGAGAGCAGTCCCCCTGTGACCCAAGGGGGAAAGGACCTGCAGGCCCCGGTGCTTGCACAAAGGACCTCCAGCCCGCGCTTGCGCTTCCAATAAGGCAAGCTGCAACGCTGTCCCAAGAGCCCCACAATTTTCACAGTGCTCTTTTTTTTTTGCAGTTTACTGGGTATCTTAGCGCCTGTCTGGGTGATACAAACAGTCGTGGCCCTGATGGGATTTGTCTTCATCTCGGTTTAGCAGGGATTGGAAACTTTCATGGCAGGCTTCGGACTCCTTCCCCCCAGAGAAGGGAAAAAAGAAACAGTGCCGGTTTTTATAGTACTTAATAAAAAGCCACCGTTTAATATATTGAAAACTTTATTTTTCAGGGCAACCCAAAGCACCTCTGAAGTGTTCCAAGGAGTGTCACGTTTTTTCACCCGAGGTAGCGGCGAAGCGGATAAGGAGCTACCGCCGGACCGAAGCCCGCTGCCCCAGACAAGCCATCATGTAAGCGCTCCCTCCCTCCCCGCCACCCGCACCCCCTTGCCGCGCTCCCTCCAGCACCCACTGAGCACCCGCCTGTCAGCAAACGCCCTTTTTTTTTGGCACAAAGAGCAGTTTGGAAACAGGAGGCTGGTAGTTATTTACTCGCAGGGTGGGTGGGGTTTTTTTCCTTACTGCAGGACCAACAGCATCCAAGTGAGATCAGGGGCTCAGGCACGGCGTGAGACAAGGATAAATGGGTGGGGAAAGGGACTGGTGGACGTTGCTGTTGGCAGAACGGGACGGCGGGAGCACGCAGGGTGAGAGCTCACCTGTTTCTGTGAAAGCAGATATTTTCTCTGGAGACAGATTCAGACTTGTGAGCTTGGCTGGAGATAAGAAAAGCTACATTTTTTTTTCCCCCAGGATAATTGGTTTTGACTTACCCTGACAGCGTGGCACCGTCAAGACCACTTTATTGCAGCCCAGGAGGTTGCTCCACAGTGAACCTGCTGGGCTGACCTTGGAAAGTCTGATCTCACTCAGTAAATCAGAGGGTTTTGTCTTCAGGTATGTTTGTCCCCCCGGCAGCTGGTGCCTGCAGAGCTTCCTGCTCTGAGCGCCGGAGGGGAACACCACATCCAAACATCAGGACAATGCTTTCAAAACACTTCTTAGGGAAAAACCCTTCTCCCATGAGTCACGTTCAGCTGTCCCTCACTAAATCAGATCTCAGGGGCACCTACCCTTCCTGAAATAAATAATCCATCCAACCTGTTGGTGTTTACTATGGGCTTGAGAGGGCCAGTGTTGATGTATGCATGCCTTCCCTATCAAGCTGATCCTCTAAACCAGTGTCTTCTTTTTCCAGTAAATAATTTGTTTTGTTTTGTTTTTTTTTTAGCTTTATTACTCTGAAGTCCATAGAGATTTGTGCAGATCCAAAGGCAAAGTGGGTGATGAAGATTGTAGAGAAACTGGACCAGAAAAAGGCTGCAGCCTCCCCACTTCCACATGATGCCACCTTAGCAGCGGCACCGGGAGAGCCTGGTGGTTTTCAGAAACACATTGGTCTTAGAGTAACCACTCCATCTCAAGCCACTGCTCCAACTAGTTTCTTCCAAGAGACTGGCACAGCGGTTTTGGAGAGAACACGTGTTCCTGCTGCCAGAACAGAGGTGTCCAGCAAGTCCCCACCAGCCACGCAGGACACCACTCAGCTCCCTGCAGGATTGTCCCCCGTGATAGGGGAAGGTGCTGCCCTCTCTGACATCACTCCAGAAGCAAGCAGAGATTCCTTAAAATCTCTTTCACCTTCAGCTACTTTTGCAGCAGGTATGATCTCCAGCCAGCCTACCCCATATCCCACGGCTCTTGTGCATGGCTCCGACAACGCCGGAGGATCTACAGAAGAACCTGTAGGACATACTGCAAATGCTACGGCCAGTGCTCAAGACATGACTTCTCCTAGCTCAAATTCAGGCCCCATGGACATTATAAAAGGACCAGACCATCCTGTACTTTCTACACATGAATCTCTGGGCCCTACAAGTGCAAGAGCCAACACTCCAAACACTACTTCTAACAGATTTAGTTCAGATCTCTCCATCCTGGGCAGCACGGAGGTCACCACCGTCCCAGCCACACCACCTCCTCCAGAGACCGCCTCAGTTTCTGCTCTAAACTCCACAACCGCCATAGACAAAGGTCCTTCTGTCCATACCAACAAGGTTGTCCATCCCTTTGTAGATGCTTTTGATACCAGAACATTTGATTATTCATCACCTGTAGGAAAGCAAGAGCCTTCAGATACATTAGTTTCTATTAGTCAAGCATTCTCAGGCCAAGCCAGAATGCAGATGACTACAGAAAGACCAACCAATCTGCCTCTTCCCAGCTTCTTGTCAAGATCTCAAATACACTTCATCATCCCAGTTTCTGTGGTAGGCGGTCTGATGGTTTGCAGTGTTGTTGTCGTATGGCTATATCTAAAATTTGGAGTCAAAATAGAAGATACGTCAAGAGAAATGGTACAGGGCTTGCTCTACCAGAAGGAGGGACATCAAAACAATGTCTATCAAATGGAAGTAATCTGAATGCGTTATGGCTTGGACATTTCTGGCCTACACTACATGTGTGTTGCTGCAGGAAAACTGAGTTTATGCTGAACTGGTGACCAGTAGGAAGCAAGGCAGGGCAAAAAAATACCAGAGAGAACTGACTTTTTTGCAGAGCAGAATGTCCAAAAATATATCTAATTCGTCACCAACCAATGATGGTATTTTGGAAATAAATGAGACACTTTTTTCTTCTGGCACTGTTATGCACAAAGGCTATCGCTGTTTTAGAGCTGCTTGGTGCCTCTTTGCCAGGCGGTGGGCAGCAGTGAATTTCCAAACTGCTCTTGGGAATTTTTCTGCATTTCATCATGGTCCAGCAGAGAAGCCACCCACTCGCCCACGCTGCTGGACTCAGGCTCAGCCCACCTTGAGCAATCTTAACGCTGAAGCTACACAATTTGCACTTGACAAACTCTGCTGCTTCTTTCTTTCACTTCAGGTTGCTGCTTGGTCAGACCACGACCGATGCTGGTGGTCAGCTGGGTGCTGGCTGATCGAGTACCCCTTTTACTCTTGCTGGAGACACGCGGGGCAGTCTAGCTTTTCAGAGATCGATGACAAAAACTGCATCTGATTAGGGAACTGAAGGTCAGTGCCACAGACCTTATGTTCAGAGGAGCTGGCAACCCACAATCTGCCTCCTCCTTGAAACCAGGCCACCTTTCTCTCCAACAGCTGTGGGCATTTCTTCTGGCAGATTTAGTCTGAGTCCTGGTTCTTGGCAAATCAACTGCAATAAAACCCTTCTGCCAGCTGCTGCGCCCTGTGTCCAGCTGCATCCAACGCCAGGGCAGGATAATGTGGATGAACCTTTGCAAATGGGAGAAAACAAGAAGTCACCCAGTAGTTTTGCTGTTGCTGTGATAACTTTGGAGGGATTTTTGCTGTTCTCTGCAAGCACAGAACCCAGGAAATACTCTCTTGGAGGAGTTGTGTGCAGGTCTGGGTTTAGTCATATAGGAATTACTCCACCACAGCAGACATACCATTCTTCCAGCCCCATATTTTCTCTAGCAATAAACACATTTACTGATCCACAAAAAAAAAGCACAAAATGCCTGCTCGTGGTCCTACACTTCAGCTGCATTTAAGTTTTTCTTTTTTGGATAGCACCCATCACCAGACTATTAAAGCATCGTGACAGTACCAAGCTTTTTTTAAACCCAGATTGGGTTTGATTTTTTACATGTCTAGATGTTGCTGTATGTAAGCCTTATCTTTTATCTGTGGTCAGTTCCTGAAAGCCAGTATTGAACATTGCCTCCAGTATGATTTTTTCTGGGGCATGCAAAGGTCTTCGTGAGATGATGCTTTGCAGATAGAGATACATACCAAGGGTCAGATCCTCCTCTAACCAACCTCAGTGGATCAGATCCCAAAGTATAAATATGCATGTAGAAAAAAAAGAGAGCAAAGCCATATAATAAGCAAGATAAAGTAAAAATGATGGGTCAGCTCTAAAGCAGAGCTAGAGGAAGGCAGCTTATTGGGTCCATCAGATTGCACCTTCAGGGCACCCATCCAGCCCTGGAGGTGGAGAAGATAGACTGTGATGGTGTCTGTGTTCTGCCATCATTCGATCCCTTATTTCTCCATTTTGCTGACTTGAGAGAGGGGAGCCAGGGATTCGTCTCAGGTTTTGCAAGTACAGAATGCAATCAGATTAATTGTAATTAGGAATTTGGGGTGAAACCCCAGCTTGGGCAGCAGCACTCCCGTGCAGCCCAGCTGTGTAACTCTGGCTGGGGTTGATTTACCTGGAGGGTAAATCAGAGACGCCTCCCCATCTGCCCCACTCGTGCACGGCTGGGGTTCGTGGCCTCACAGCTCGTGAGCCAGTGTACTGTGGTATTATTTTTATCCGAAGCACTAGAAATGTTATTTTTGTAGTAAAATTTTGTAGCCATTTAAATGTATGCAATGTCTTGTCCTTGCTCCGGAAGCACTGTGGAGTCGAGACCTTCCTGGGAACATTGGAAACCACTGTGCCTTGTCTATTTTTTTGCTGGTCTTGGATGGTTTCTGCATGTCCACGGGAGCTGGGTCGCTCTCCGGGCACCACAGCAAAATGGAGCAGGCACTTGTCTTCCCTGGCCGTGGGTGAAGTCCTTGGCTTGGAGCGATGCTGGGGAGGGGAATGTGCACCAGACAGATCTGATCACTTCGAATCCCACCACGCTCTTTTTAAGGACACCGGTTTCAGCTCCCGCAGCCGGCTCCCAGCTGCCGTGCCCACCGCACTGGCACTCACGGGGAGGAGCTGCTCCTCCAGCCTGGCCCCGTCCTCCTGCTCGCCTCGCTCCCCTCTCCTCTTCCCAGGCTGTTAGCAGCCAGGACGCTGGCACCCCTCATGGGGGGGCAGTTCAAACCCAGGGCAGGGGGGCACCGCCGCGCCTCCTTGCTTTGCGCTGTGCGAGGGGCCAACTGGGAGGTGACGGGGCCTGTGGGTGTCACCGGTTCCTGGGGCTTAAAATGTCATTTGCTGCAGAGCGCCGTGGCTGTTGCAAGTCACTGATTCATTCGTGTACCGAGTATATATGAGTTGAGTGTATGAGATATATATTCTGTATTTTTTTTTTTTTTTTAGAGGTAACTGTAATAAAGTCCTTATGTTAAAAACTCTTGTCCTCGGGGGGATTCAGCCCAGGGCTGGGTGACCAAGCCTGGTGCCTGCAGAGGTGCAGAGATGAATGTATATGATTAAGCACGGGGTGGGGGGAGAGGGGGGAATCCCAGCGTCGCCAGTAGACAGCAAAGCTGGTGCAGCTGATGTGGCTGAGCTCTTGCTCCACCTCTTCACTGTTTAAGGGCTTCAGTCTTGCCAAAAATTTGCAGGGAATTTGCATTTCCCATCCTGCTAAGGCAGTATGGAAGAACCAGCCGGGTTTACAACCAAACAGCAACCTGCAGAAAACAGACGTCACGCCCCAAGTCTGGTGTGCAAGCAGCCAAGGGCTGAGCTAGGACCTCTCCTGCCACAGCCAGGGCTTGGGCTGCCCTCGTGTGCTCCTCTCTAGCGTTGGGGAGGTCAGAAAGGCAACGCAATACAAGAGTCAGTCAGTGCCCAGGGACCTGCCTGGAGTGGGGAGCTGGAAGGAGCAAGAGGGTCAAGGATGAGCATCTCCCCTGCATCCCAGGCGCTCTGGTCCCAGACATGCCCCGTCCCCGTGCTGTGCAGCCACCCTGCCCCATGCTCCGGCACCGCCGGCACACTGGGAAGATGGTGAAGTCAGTGAAAATTTCCCCCCCAGATAAATCACCGGGCCAGAAAGGTCATTTTGGGGATAAGAAGCTGTGTGGAAAGAAAAACAATGTTTTTTTTTTTTTTTTTTTTTTTTTTCTTTTCTCCTTGCCATTATGAGGAGAGAGTGGGCGAGAGAGGGGAGAAGCTGTGTAAACAAGTCAGCCCCGACAGTGATGAATCATTTCCGACACGCAGAGCGAGCGCTGGCGCCGGCACGGGGCCATTCGGGGGCTGCAGCTCCGGAGCACCGAGGGAGCTTCTGGATGCCCCGTCCCTGGGCTGGCTGGTGGCACACGCTGGCTCCTCTACGGCTGACAGCGCAGGGAAAGACCTTGTGTGAAGGATGTCCAACCGTGCACCTTCTCATGCTCCTCCTGGAGGTCCGTGGCTTCCCCAGGTGTAGAATTTGGCCCAGGAGATAACTAATGCTGTCAGGCTCAGGTGGGACAAGGCTTGCCTTCTGCACCTGGTGTGCAAGACACGTGCTTCTGCCTGGAGGTTCCCCCCCAACCCACGGGAGATGGGGGCCCATGGTCCTGGTGTGCCCCTTCTGCTCCTTTGCTGACCCACCTCTTGGGTTTCCAGCTGCACACCAGTGCAAGCCCACTCCAGCACTTCATTAGCCAGCTGTTTTGATTGACCTCAAGATGGAGTCCCTACAAAGAGACCCTCCTGTTAAGAGAACGAGGAGCCCCTGGGCCTCCACACAGGCTCACCTCCATGCCTTCACAGCCACACAGGATCCAACCTTGAGGGTGCTGACAGGTCTTAATCACCCTGACCAGCCTCACCTGTGGATGGACTCACACCCCCCCCCACACACACACACACTCACACAGACCCCCCCACCCTCTGCCCAAGACCCGAGAGTCCCATTTAAGCTCAGGCTTAAGCCTCTAGTCCCTGCTTTGGGTATGCTGGTCTGATGTCCTGGCTCTGGCCCTGGCCCCGGCTCTTGGATTGACCTTGGACCTATGTTGCAGGTATCTTGTCTCCTGGCTGGCTGGACCCTTTGATGTTGTAGCCCTATGTCTGTCCTCATCTCCTGCTGCTGCTGAATGGATGCCTCCTAACCCTCCCAAATGGGTCCTGGACCTAGTCCCTCATGTTGGTGTGTCTGGGACCATTGGTGGACCCTGATACCAGCACCTGGCTCTGCCCACCATGCTCAGACCCTGTGGGACCTCACCTCATTGCCTGTGCTGGGGTCACTCTTGGCTCCAGGCTTGTCCCCTCTCACTGCAGTCTGGACCTGGCAGTGAGACACCTCTGCCATTGTCTTCTCCAAGCCCTGACTTCTCTCCAGGGTGACGTGTGAGGGGCACAGTTATGCCCGTGAAGCAGAGACCCTGCAGTCTCCATCCTCTCTGGTTTGAGACTCAGATTGTGAGTCTGTCCCTGCTCAACAGGCTCGGTGCGGTGTTTTTTTCTCTGAAATGTTGTGTAAGCACACTCATGCTTAGGGCAGCCAGCCTCTCGTCAGGCTAACGCACCACCGCTTTCATAATGCTGGCTTAGCAGAATGCAGGCTGTCCCCTTAGCTGCTTTGGCTCTCCAGTTGCACAGCCACAGTTCTGCTGTGTGGCTGTGGTTCTTCCATGCTTTGTGTTTGCTTAACCTCCACTTTTATGAGGATTGGGTCCCTGTTCACGTCACTACCAAAGGCTGCTCTTGTAGCTGAAGTCCTCCTCGTGTGAAGACAGAGGTTGTCAGGACTCTCCAGGGTCATACCTCATCAGTGACCATCTCAGGTGAGGGAGGAAGTTTTGTTTCTGAAGCACCCTTGGTGAGCTACAAGGTCACAAAGCAAATAATTTAAAAAATAATAGGAAGAATGAGAGGAGCCTTCCAAGAAGGGATGTGATGTCAGCTCACCAACTCAGACCACGACTGGCACAAATATTTTTTTATTACAGTACCTAGGGACCTTATTGTATCTTTCCCATCACATTATTTCAACTGAATTTATTCTTCTGATTGCTGGGGTTTACCCTAATCAAAAACTAAGGAGCAAGTAAGCTCGTAACTTGTTCTACTGCCTCCTTGGAGTTGTTAGGACTAGTTCTATTCAGAATTGAATCACTAAAAATTAGACTGAAATTGCTTCCATGCCCTATTCTTTTTTCTCGTATCACAGCTTTGCTTTGAAAGCTGAGCTGAAGCAGATCTTCACTGCTCTCTTTAGCTCTAGGAGCTCAAAAAAAGGTCAGGGTTGAAATAAGGAGGCTGAAGTCCTCACCAAACATCATTTCCTCCGATTGTTACCTGGCCCAGAAGCCTCTCCAGTGCAGCCTCCCTTGGGAGCAGCAGCTCCCCCTGGCACCGCGGATCCATCCTTCACTTAACTACAAGGCCGTTGATCAACCTCGCCAGAGGAAAATGGAAAAACTGCCTCTTTTTCAGTGCATATGAGAAAACTGGCATCATATACTTTTTCTTCTCTTCCTCAGCGAAGCGGCCGCTTCCAGTTTCTGGTCCGCCCCTGCCTCTCTGCTTGGCCAGCACGGTGAGGGTTCTCTGCCTGGTCACGGCGAGTTTCTGCTCCATCCCCTGCGCCGGTGGGTGGGCTTGCCCAGTGCCTGAGTGCAGACCATCCCCCGGGGAAGGGCTCCCGGACACATCCTTCCTGCAGCCTCCACGTCTCCTAACGCCGGGCAGGACTTACCGCGCAGGATGCGGCTTGGATCGCCAGCTTCCAGGCGGTCCCACCCGCGGTAGGAAGCAGGCTTTGGAAGAGGCTCTTGTTTGCCTCCTTTTAAAGTGTCTTTCCAGGCTGTAGGACCTGGCAGGGTTGTACCTGGAGTCACAGGGTGAGCACTGGTTCTGGGAAGGAACGAGAACATCGTCTTCGGTTTGCGATTGTACCCGGAGGCAACTGGAGCTTCAAAACGGAGCTGGGGACACGCTTCAGTGGGCACCCCAAATAAATGTGGCGGGGCTTTACACTCAGAAAGCTGAGGTTTTAATAGAAGAAAAACGAGAATGTTTCATACTGTAAATGGAGAAGACTCAAAGTGACTGGACAGAACAGAAGATAACAGGGAAAAGCTTATCCCTAGCCCTCCCACCACCTCCTTGGGGAGAGGTTTCAGGCACTTGGTGATTCCCAGGTGATGCTCAGCCACCTCGCTCCTGCCTTGCCAGCCCAGCTGCTTTGGCAGCGCAGAGCCCGTGCTTTCCCGAGCAGCGCGATGACCGGGTGGCTGTGTTCTCCAGCACAGCTGGGTGTGCTCAGTTATCTCCTGAGACCCCATTTCCCAGCATGGGGCTTGTTCTGCCCAGCTCCTTCCTCCCCACACTGGCAGCATCGCTGGCAAAGGCTGCGCTGGGGGTGTACTCCAAGCTTCTCTCATCTTCCTCTTGCAGAATCAAGAGGATGCTGTTTATTTTTTTTTAATGTAAACAAGCAAATTCTCCAGAGCCCATTCAAATGAAAAGGGAACTTGGCCCAGCAGTGGGGTTTTCCAGCACTCATCAATTAATGGCTGCACATCAGCCTTTCCCTTCCCCAAAAGTAACAGAATGAACATTAAAGGGTCTCAAGTAAATCCTTTTGCTGCAATAGCGATGGCTTGAAAAGCTGAGAAAGGGGAAGCAGAATATCCCAGGTCAGATTTTCTGCCAGATAAGCAAGCACAGCTCTGCAGAAACAGGCCCTCACTAGGAGTTTTACTTCTCAAGGTCCCCTCCTTCCAGAGCAGTCTCTTCCCTGACCCTGGCTGCTGGGTGCTCCCGTACTTGTTCAGCCACCAGCACTATGTGCTGCCCTGGCCACCCACCCAAAGCATCCCCCCATAGTTGAGGAGAGAAGCCCAAGGCCACGGGGAGACATGCCACGGGCTCGCAGGAAGACCGTGCCTACCCATCCCCAAAATCCTTCTGCGTTGCTGAGGGTCCAGCCCTTGGTTGGTGGCTTTGCCCCAGGCGCGGTTAGGGCAGGCTGCGCTCTGCCTTGGTCCGTGGCTGCAGGGGGGCCTGTGTCCCCCCAGCTCCAGGACCTCTGCCACGGGCCTGACAGCATCGTGCCACCTGCTCTTGGTGGCCCCGCTCCTGTGCACACCACAGGCAAGACAAAAATGCCTCGGGAGCAGCAACACGGCCCATGTCCCCAGCTCAACGTTGCCAGTTTGGCTGCAGCTCACGGAGCGTCGTGGTCTCCAAAAGGCTCCCGCTGGGACAGTCTTCACGGGATGGGAGAGCACTCTGGTCCCAGCAGCCACGGCCCAGGTCTGGGGAGGGGGTCTCGGAGAGGCAAGAAGGGAGCCTTGGAGCAGAGGTGGGGAGGTGGCTGAGAAGGGAAGGCAGCACCCGCAAGGCGGTGGGAGAAAGGAAAGGTGCTTTCAGGGATCAACAGGAGGGCACAAGGAGTTTATTACAGCCCAGGGAGGCACCGAGTCGCTGGGCTGAACGCACACAGGAAGGAACAACATTGTCCTTAGGGATTGTGGGCCCTGTTTAGAAATGTTTTATTTTCAGTCGTCTAACACAGTATGGGGTGGCCTCGTGCCAGCTCCTCTTGAGCCAAGCCATGCTTTTGAGACATAGGGACTCCATTTCTCCACCAGAGCTGAGCCAAAGCACAGTGGCTGTGGGGGTCTGAGTATGTATTTCAATAATTTCTACCACGTTGGGAAGAGCCTTGGTATACCCTGTCTGGTCTCCTTGAGCCTTCATCAGCAGGAGGTGTGTCTCCTACTCCAGCTGAGGTGGAGGAGATCTGGACGTGACCAGGGCAGTTCTTAGCATTGGGTGTTTTTTCCCCAAGTTTTTTCAAAGGCCCCCAGGGATGACACAGTTCCAGGTGTCATGTCCTGCTCCAACGAGACAGAAGAGGGTGGCTGGGGGGTGCCAATGTGGAGAAGGGGTTGAGGTTGCCCCTTGGGTAGCTCACGGTGGCTGAGGGGGGACTGTGGGACCCCGCTGCTCCATGCATCCACTTACGGCCTGGGAAAAAAGAGCGAATGGAGAAAGAAGCTTCAGAGCAGGGACTGTGCATGACTGGCAAGGACCTGCCCAAGGACCTGATGGTCTGAGTGGCTGGGTGAGGAAGGGGGAGTTGAGCACAGTGGGGAGAAGATGTCCCCAGGATAACACAGAGAGGCTGACCCCCTTTCTGCTGGTCCCGGGGAGGCTTCAAGGCCGCAAAGGGGAGAAGATGTTGGAAAAACTCCCAAGAACTTTGAACACCAACTTTTCCTTCCACCTTTCTCAGCCTGGTTCAGCCTCCTGCCCTGCCCTGAAGCCGAGGGGTTAAGCCAGCCTCATCTGCAAGGCTGGTCTTGGCTGCACCCCCTTCTTCTTTCACCTACGCTTCCCAGCTATAAACAGGGAATTTTGGTGGAAAACTTGTGTTCCTCTCCATAGGAACACCGTGGAATGTGATGTGGTTTCTGGCAGCATTTGACATTTTACAACTTTCAAGCTGCAGGGGGCTGGTGGCAGCAGCGGTCACTGCGTTTCTGCTTAATGCCCCCCAGGGAGTTCACGGGCCACCCAGCCATCTCCAGAACGTTCATGTTGGCTCTGGGGCTGAAAAGTGACTTTGCACAGAAAGCTGGGCTTTGCCTTTCCTATCGCCGCTAATCCCCTCCCCGTGGGTTTGGGAGCCCTTACACCTCTGCGGAGGAGGATTTCATTTCCCTCGTGGGCCCTGCAGCTTTCCCGCAGACCCGTCTCCATGAATGCAGAAGTTGCCAAAATCTGTTCAGTCTTTCTAGGTATTGTCTGGTGTCAGCAACCCTGAGGATCCCACGTGACATGGAAATCCCCTTGGCCAATGAAAACATACAGGGCATTTGCCTGAGTTTGGTCAAAATTCTTTGGAAAAAGGCTAAAGTGGGGAGGTGGTGGAGAGGAGAAATTGCAGCCCCTCCTTGCCTGAGATCACTGTTGAGCTCCTCCGAAGAGGCAGAGCAGCACCCTGTGAGGAAGAGCCCTCACACAGCCACTATGCTCGGTGCAAGGATGGTCCCGGTGCTCCTGATGCTGCTGACCCTCTCCCCATGCTGTGATGCAGGTGAGGCACCTCACGGGTCACCGCTGCAGGGCAGGGCTCAGGGTGGTCCCGCTGGGGAGGGCAGGCAAGAAACCCCAGTGTGGAGCAGGGATGGTGCTGCTGGCAGGAGCAGCGACGCCCTGGCCGGGGCAGGGCAGCACGTCCCGGGGTGCAGGGAAGGCTGGAGACTGCTCCAGGGGCCGGGTGGCTTCGGCGAAGCTGGCTGCAGGGCTGTGGGTGCTGGACGATAACCTGGAGCATCCTCCCGCCCCGGGAAGGAAGGAGGGCACCTGGGGCTCCTCATGGCAGCATCTGCAGAACTTGGGGGATGCTGCGGGCATCAGCCTTGTCACGGGGGAAGCTCTTAAAGACTGCTGTCCAAAGTCAGCGTTCACCATCTCACTGTCTTCTCCAGTCCCTTATTCACAGCTCGAGTGCTGCTTCAGTTACATAAAGCTCTCTCTCCGGCTGGCTAACCTCAAGAATTTCTACACAACTCCCAAGGAGTGTTTTACCCCAGCGATTGTGTAAGTCCTGGTAATTTCCCCACTGCTGTGCTATCTCTTGGGACACCATGGGTTCAGTTTATCCATCCCATCTGGGGACAGGACTGGTCCAGCTCTCTGTGACCTCCACGAGTGGCTGTCTTCCAGCATGAAGAGGGGAGGACATGACTGTCTGGCCACCTCTGCAGGGCAGAGTTAAGGACACGAGTCCATCACAGTTCCTGAAGGCTCCGCACAGGCTCTGAAGGCATTGGGCTGCAGGATGAGCTGCTTGCAGGACACCAGGTGCCCAGGGCCACTGTGCAGGGCCAAAGGGAAAGGAGAAGGCGTGCAGGGAAGGAAGGATGGCATTGACACTAGTGGGATTAAAGCTGTTGTTTCTCACCAAGCTTCAACTTTCATCTTGTCAGGCTTGAGACCAGGAATGGGACCACAGTCTGCGCAGACCCAAAGATGCCTTGGGTGAAGAAAGCAGTTGAGAAGCTCCAGAAAAAGAAAGGACTTCGTGCCCTGGTTCAGGCTACCAAACATCCTGGTGGAAAGAAAAGCTTATAGTCATCCTCCTGGAAAGGTCTGTAAAGATCCCCAATGCTGAGGGATGGCCCTGGCTCCCCAGAGCCCTGCACCACATTGACCAGCCAGGCACCAGCTCCCAGGCTGCTGCTGGCCCCGCCAGAACCTGCTCATTGAGTACCTCCACAAAATAAAGCTTTACTTCATGTAGTGTTGCAGAGTGGTGTCCTTTCTTCTCCCAGCTCCAGGAACTGTGCTGCTGCCGGCTGGCTGAGGCATGGAGCTGGCCAAGGGGCTGGGGTGGGGTGGGGGCTCTTCCCACTGCCTCCTGACACCTGATGGGTCTCACTGGGGCAGGCAGGGAGGGGGATGGGAGCGTGCTGCGTGGCTGCTCTAGGCATTTGGATACTTGCTTCAAGGGGACCCAAAAAGGGGCTTTTAGGTGCAAAACTGTCACCGGTTTTGGGCTTAGAGCTTTCAGCTTGTCCCTTGCATTGCCCCATGTGTGCCATGAGCACGGCACAGCTGCCACCTCTTCCCTTGGACTTAGTGTATCTGAGCTGTGCTGCAGAGGAAGGGTTTCTCTGCAGAGCTCCCTGGGCAGGTAGAACAGACGGGATGCTGGGGATGCTGAAGCAGACAAGGGATTCACCCACGTACAGCCGTGGAAATCCCTTCCATGCCAGGGGCCACACAGAGCTCACCAGCTCACCCTGCCAGGGTTTTGGGGTGGGGAGGAGAAAAAGTGAGAAAACTGATGGGTTGAGATTGAGACAGTTTAATAGGTAAAGCAAAAGCTGTGCACACAAGCAAGGCAAAATAAGGGATTCACTCACTCCTTCCTACCGGCGGGAAGTTGCCAGCAGAGCAGGGCTCCATCCCACATAACGGTGACTTGGGAAGCTAAATGCTATAACCCTGAATATCTGCCCCCTTAATCTCCTCCTTCTTTCTCTGAGACTTAATAAGAGGAGAAAAAAAGAAAACCAACCAAAAAAAAAAAAAAAAAAAAAAAGAAAATGCCACCAGATTATGCAAAAGCCATTACTCCCCACCAGATGGATGATACCCAGCCAGTCCCCAAGCAGCAGCCACCCTGTCAGCCCCCTGCCAGCACCCCCAGCTCCTGGAGAAGGGGATTTTGGCTGCAGGACCTCCAGGGATGCTTTCACGGCAGAGGCGAAACCCACCCAGAGCTGAGGGACAACCCTGTGGGTCTGGGAACCAGAGGTCTCGTGGGTCCCGGGAGGCAGGTGGAGATCTCTGGGGTGCACCGGGAGGTGCTGCAGCTTGAGGAAGCCTTTTAAACCCTCGCCTTTACTCTTCGGGAGCCTTCAGACCACGGAGACGCCCTGTTTGCTTGGTCCTGGTGCCCTCTCCCGACGGCTGCGCAGGACCCTCTGCCAGGGCGCTGCTGGTGCAGCCTCACGGTGCTGGCGGTGGGTCACAGCCCCCAGCCTGTCCCCGTCCCCAGGTCACAGCAGCCCCAGAGGGCTGCGCTGCTCAGACAAGACAGCTCCAAAGGGTGGCCCAAGCCCTTGGCCCCCACCCCACCATCCTGGATGCCACGGGGCCGCTGCCCCACACGGCTGGGTCCCCCTGCCCAGGGACACCAGCTGCCTCTTCTTCCTCGGCCCCAGCTTCCTCCGGGTCCTGCGCCACCAGCACACAGCGCCGGGTGGGAGGGATGGTCTGGGGGGGACACCTGGCAGGGTGAGGTCCTGGGGGGACCTGCTCCCCCTCAACAGGCTGGCCCTGGCTGGGGAGCTGGCAGGGACCCACAGGCACCACGGGGCAGGGCCAAGAAGCCTCTCCGTGGGCGCAGCTGGGGTCAAATTCACAGTGATGCTCGAGCTGTGCTGGCAGGTTTCTGCCGGGAGCCGATGCTGAGGAAGGTGGATGATGGCCCAGGGTGGTGGTGAGGCCCTGCTTGGCCCCCGTGCTGGGGGGGACGCTCCTCCTTGCTTGGTTCTGGGCTCCCCAGCACGTTGTGCTCATCCCCTGCACCGTGCGGGGTCCGACCTCCCCATCCAGCCAGAGCCCTGGGGTCTGTGCTGCGGCCGTGCCACAGCCGTCGGGAGAGGGCACCAGGACCAAGCAAACAGGGCGTCTCCATGGTCTGAAGGCTCCTGAAGAGTAAAGGCGAGGGTTTAAAAGGCTTCCTCAAGCTGCAGCACCTCCCGGTGCACCCCAGAGATCTCCACCTGCCTCCCGGGGCCCACGAGACCTCTGGTTCCCAGACCACCCCACCTCGGAACCCCTCCATGCGGGGTCCACGGAACCCGAGGATGGGCACAGCAGGGACACTTGGGAACCCAGGGCAGCCTTTACACTCGTATATTAAAGAGTCGGTTTTCTTCTGCTTTAATTTCTTTTTTTCTCCCATGCATTTGTGTTGCTATCAGCTTTATCTCTTGCTGAGTAATTGCCCGCTGCTTAGACACATAATGTCAGCACAACCAATAATTAATTGAACAGCTACGCAGGTTACTATTACAGCCATTAGCCCTATGCATATAGATATGAAAAACATTTTAAGTACATTTCCAAACCATATGCCAAAGTCCGGTGTCCAACTCCACCTGTCAGAAGGGCTGGGGTTTGGGTTATTTTGGGGTTTGTTTTGGTTTGTTTTTTTGTTTTTTTGTTTTTTTTCATTTTATGAAAAACCTTTAGGTGGCTTTGGATTGTCATTACAACTGTTTCTATTCTTTTGTCTTGGTTTACACATAAACAACAACTGGTGCTAATGAGAGCACAAACCCCTCCTTTGGCCTCTAATAGATAGTTCAATACTAATTGGCTTTTTATCACCATTTGAGATCTAGATTTGACCTCTGTTTGTAAGGTCTTTTTGCTATCTACCATAGCGTTTGTAATACTATTTCCCTCAACACATTTACTATTGCCTTTTCCAATTCTATTATTCCTAGACATGACAAGAAGGCTCTGGTGAATTTATGAAGGTTGGTTGTTGTTATAGTTTCACCTTTGCCTTTTTGGCCACGGTTGATGGTGAGGAAGGCTTCCTCCAGAGAGGGTTTTGGTGGCAGCAGTGTCAGAGACCAGCATCCCCAGTGCGCGAGTGCCTTGTGATCTTCCACTTTCTTTGGCATTTATCAGATCAGAGTCTTCACATGTCCTGTTGAACTATTAATTTTTATGATTACTCAAAAAACAAAACACCGTATGAGTCAGCAAATATTTCCCATCTCTACAGTGTGGGATTTTTTGTTCGTACCTATTCATTTTATTTTCTAAAGTAGGGGGTTTACTCAGTCAAAAAATTTGCATTCAGTTATAGATTATAGTGAGGTTGCAGCTGGTCTGGACACCACTAAAATCATGTGCACAGCCCGTCTCTCTACACAGATGGCTACTCGCTTTTGCATTTGCCAAACCAGGCAAACCTGGGGAAGGCCCTGGAGCCCCACAGCTGGAGAAGGGGCTGTGCCACCACTGGGGAGGGACTGGGCGGTCGCTGGGACCACCCCGGGCACAGCAGTTTTGAAGGGGCTGGAGATGACTAAAGCCAAGTCCAAAGGTCCACTGCTGGGGCAGGGACATGGAGGAAAGCTCAGGCCTCCAGAGCCTCACGGGGCTTCTCCAGGCCCCCAAATACCCCACATGCACTGATTTTCTTTATGAAGAGCAGATAGTGGAGGCATCTACTAACACTTCTGATGGGACTGGGGACAGGATTAATTAGCTAGGGGAAAGGAAGAGTGACCATGTGCCTCAGTCAAGCCTGAAAAGGGAGCTCAGAGCTTGGCACACGGGGTTTGCTGTGTGAGGAGACGTTGTCTGAAAAAAGCCATTAGCTCAGTTCCCCCTTAATTACAGTCCTTCGCTTTTGACCAGTGTCTAGAAGGTGAAGTGCCTCTGGTGGCTCGTGGGGCTCGAGGGTCTGTAGATCGGGGACATGGTAGGAGCTGCAAAAGGAAAGGTGGGAGAGCCGGAGGAATGCTGAGACTGTAGAAGGGGGCTCAGGGGCTGTATGTTGGGTGTTTTCTTCCTGCAGAGCCCTCTCCTGGAGAAAGTGGCATTAGAAACCAGCGGTGCTGTGCGCAGCTCTCCGCACGGCCACCCTGCTCCCACGCCAGGTCGTCAGATGTCCTGCAGACTGCATCTTCCAAACCAGAGCTGTCAGCACATTTGATTTGTTTCCTTCTCCTTTCTTCTTCCAGAGAAGTTGTACAAACATGCGATAATCTTCAAGGAAATCCATTTCCACCTTTCTTTTCCTCCGAGAAGCCCTGGCTTGCCTCATCCCCAAGCCACAGCCAGGTTCCCCCCCGCTCCATGCTCCCACTCGCCATCATCCCACGTGGGTTCCCACTGGGTCCTTCCCCCCTCCTCGCACACAAGGTGCAGCTGCATCTCACCTTCCCTGAGAGCAGATCTCTGTGTGGAAGCTGGGCTGATCTCTGTGGTGCTATCCTCAGGGTGCGTGCCACCCGCCCTTCCTGCCCTCGGCGTCCTCCCTGGGGTCTGGGATGACTCTCTTGGGGCTGTCGTAGGGTTTGTCTCATCTCCCTGCAGAAATGACCTATCTGTGTGTTGATGACCTGTCTGAGGACCACAAGCCCCCATCCCTCTGACCTTCTCATTTAGATCCCATTGCCAGTGTGGGAGACAGAGGCAATGATTGGGATCAGATTTAGGATCAGACCCAGACTCTCCCGATGCCCTGCTGCCGTTGCCCCATTTCTTCCCCTTCTATAAAGTCTCCTGAACCCACCAAAATCATCTCTGCCACCTCCTACTCTGAGGTCCCTCCTAGTTCGGGCCAGTGTGGCTTTTTCTGCCTGCCATGCCATGCCATGCCATGCCATGCCATGCCATGCCATGCCATGCCATGCCATGCCATCCCATCCCGAGCGTTTCACTGCCAAAGCTAGTGCCAGGGTGGTTGGGGAGGCCGATTTGGAGGGGTCTCATTAGTCACTTGCCTTTGATGGCTCAGGCAAACCAGCTAAACCCATCAATGACCTGTTCCTGCTCAGAGATTTTTGGGTTGTCTCTCCTGTTAGAAAGAAACATGTAAGCATTAGCCTTGATGTCCCACCTCCACAGAAAGTTGTTTTTAATCTGCTTTCCTGGGTAAATTTCAGTTCCCCCAAAGCCTCCTAGAAGCCCCATGCAACGTCTTCCACAGAAAGCAGAAGTGGCTGACCCGCTCCTTGGCCCCTTCACTGCCGCTGGACGTGCCCCCAAAATAAACAATGACAGAAATCCCCTTGTCCCTGGGAAGAAGCTTCTTAGAACCTGTCTGACATTTTTGGAAAAGCGGTTAAAGTGGGTGGCATGCAGAGTATAAATTATAGTATGGCGAGAGCCAAAGCCACAGAGACGGGGCAGGGCAGCACAAAGCAGGACGGAGGAAGAGCCCTCACGCATGCACCATGCTCGCTGCAAGGACGGTCCCGCTGCTTGTGCTGCTCCTCATCTTCTCCCTGCACCACGCCACAGGTAACGCACCGCTGCAGGTCGGGGTCCCCACGGGGGGACACCCAGTTGGGGAGGTCAGGCAAGAAACCCCGGTGGGGAGGGGGGGGGACAGTGCTGCTGGCAGGAGGAGCAGGGGCAGGGCAGCACGTCCCAGGGTGCAGGGAAGGGTGGAGAGGGCGCTGGGTGGCCCCAGCAACGCTGCGGGAGCTTGGAGGAGACTCCGACAGCAGATCCCCAGCTCTCAGCTGGGTGAGCGAGCGGTTGGGGGCAGGGGGGGGAGCATCCCAAAATACCTTGCATGTTGTGCCCCCGCCTCGGAAACCCTCAAAATCTCGTCCCCAGAGCGAGCACTTTGGCAGCGGTGCTGGGCCCCACACCATTTGCCTCCCCACCGCTGCCCTCCTTTCCCACCCCCCTGCTTGCTGTTAGGAGGGGAAAGAGACCCCTGCCATGGGATGGGGCGGAAGCTGCTAAGAAGCTCCACGGCCTCCATCCAGTGCTCGATACCCTGCAGTGTCACTGTCTGGTGATGCAATTAGTTGCAAAATGCTGCCAAGGGCATCCACGTCCCTCCCTTCCCTCCCCAGCCTACTTCTCGCCCACCGAATGCTGCTACAGTCAAGCTCAGAAACCCGTCCGACAAGTGCAGAATTTCTACAAGACGCCCAGTGACTGTTCCTTGCCTGCAGTGGTGTGAGTACCCCCCCCGGGTTTGCCTCCCACCCTCGGCACGGCGTCACGGGTGGGACCTTGAGCAGTTCCCCCCTCCCGCCCAGCCCTGCGGGCAGCCTGGTGCCAGCTGGCAGCGTGTGCCTGGGGGAGCTGTGGTAGGAGAGTAGCTCAGTGGGGTGGGCAGAGGGGGAAATAAATCAGGTTTTGGTGCTTTCTGCTAATGCCAGTGGCCTGGGAAGATTCCGAAACGCACCGTCAGCCCGAGCTCCATCCAGCAAACCTCCATCCAGGATGGGGCTGCACACAGAGAGGGAAGTAGTGCACGGGAAGGAATGGCACGCCGTTCATGTTTTCGACTCTCTTTCCTCACTTTCTCGCTGTAGGATTGTGACTGCCACCGGTGACAAGGTCTGCGCTGACCCCAAGAAAGCCTGGGTGAAGAAAATCATGAAAAACCTTGGAAAGAAAAAATGAAATCCTCCTTCTGCCGTTCCCCCCCCCGACCCTCCCGTCGCTGGAGGGAGCAGCCGGTGCTCGCCACGCTGGTCCCGTGGCGCCGGGCACTGTCACTGCAGGCAGAGCCAGCCCGTGCCCTGGTGGGACTGGGTGCCACAGCAGCACCGACCAGCTGGCCACCAAGTCCCTCCTGCTGCCGCTCCCCTCTCAGGACGCGTCCAGCGGAGCGAATATTTATAATAAAGACTCATTGCCCCAAGCTGCTCTTTTGAGTTTTTCCTGATCCTCCAGCCCAAGGAGCAGATCCTGCAAGCTGAGGGCACGGGGCAACCAAAGAACCCCTTTGCCACGGGCACGTGTTTCTCCAGGCTTGGAGCAAACTGTGCCTGGTCACAGCATGTTCCACTGGGAACGTGATGGTGGGGGCCACGTCTTGATCTGAGGCCACCCTTACCCACAGGTAAGGCCAGGGAGGGGTGGGAGCAGCCCAGGACCCCGGTTTTTAACACCAGGCCAATGGTCCATCATTTTGTGTGAGCCCGTGCAAAGCGTACATGGGAAAACCTCGGAAAGGTGAAGGCAAGAAACGTAGCAAATGTGCATTTGAGGGTTACAAAGAATATTTCCACCCTTTTCTTTTTTTTTTTTTTTTTTTTTATATCCACCACTGAAAATCAAAATTATGTAGGCCCACAGCCAGAATATTACAAGTGGACAACACGATGCTCAAGGAGAAAAAGCAATTCCTGCCATGGCACCCAGCTAATCCTGAAATTTTTGACCCGCAAAAAGGGTGGTGTCGAACAAGATGTGAAAGGTGTTACAAGATGCTATTGCCAATGAGAGGTGGGGAAGGCCAGCAGATATCTAGGAATATTACAGGGATGACATATCGCACCGTCTACGAGAAAGGCTGTGATGGGACAAACACCATCTGCCCGTATGACAGAGCAGCCCCTGATGAAACAAAAAAAAAAAAAAAAAAAAAAAAAAAGATGATTTAAATACTCTCTATCCGTTCGTTAACAAAATAAAATGACGCTCCACTGGGCACGCCAACATTATTCCTGAGGATTTTAGCACCCTGACAGCCTGTTTTGGGTGTCAGGGGATGGAACTGTGGTGACACTCAGGACTCATCCAGACCCCAGGGACCTCCTGCTCGGGGACCACTCACGTGAGCTGACGGGCGAGATGCTGCCAGGTAGGAATGGAACCGGTGGCATCAGGAGCCAAGATGCAGGAGGTGGCTCGTGACAAAAGGGCACCAATTAATGATTCCCAGGGTCTGCCCCGGGGGGTCTGACCACAAACACGTGCTGGAAGTGCCTCCCGTCCAGTGTTTCTGGTAGGGCTTAGCAACTGTGGGAAAAGCAATTTTGTAGAAAGTTTTGGAGAACTGCCATCACGTGCCTTCTGCTACGCCAAGAAAATCTTATAGCAGAAATATATAGGGGTGTCAGCAGCTGCTGCACGGTGAACTATGAACTGCCCCATAAGGACCCGTTATCACACCTGGGTAGGGCTTACCTGAAAATCTCAGCGATAATTGCTTGTTTCCCTCTCCTAATTGCACGTGAGGCAGCAGCACCCGAGCCTGCCTTGCCCACCAAGGGACCTGCCTGATGACAGGGACACGCTTCTGCTGGCGTCTGCTCAGCCCTGGCCGGGGCAAACTCACCCCGGAGCCACCTCCTCCCAGCCAGGCAGAGCCCGGCTCCCGCTCCCCCACGGCCGCTTGCCTTCCCAGCGAGCAGAGACTCACAAAAGCACACGGCTCCACGCCAGCTCTTGCACATGGATGTGTATTTTAATAAAAATAATTCTGTCAATATACAGCAGAACGTTGATTTCTTTACCATATTTCCAGTATATTTTCATAGGCTTTTTCTGAGTTAAAATCCCACACCCCCCCTCCCCTTTTGGAAGTTTTCATGCGAAGCATCAGATAACTTAATTCACAAATACTAAGCTTAGACTGAACCAATGTGCACAATTTGTGTAATGTCCATTTAGCCAACGTTGTACCAAAGAGGAGAAAACCCCCCCCCTCCAAAGGCGATGAGGAGGCTGGAGTGGCAGAGGGAGATCTGCGCTGTCGCAGCCCAGTGGTGGCCATTCCTCCAGGGCTGGCTGGAAACCTGCAAAGACCTCACATCCCGTGCTCCAGCTGAGAATTTCATACCTGAGTTTTGAGCAACCAGCAGAAGAGAGTTAACTGCGTGGTGGGCAGGTCCTGGGGCTTGCACCGCTGAACAAGCTGCGTGCAAGAGCTTCAGGTGCCAGCAGCCTCCTCCTGCCTCCCCTGGCTGGAGAGCTGTGAAGAGCGTGCACAGGTAGGACCGAGAGAGGCAATCCCAATCAAATCCCTGTGCAGAGTCCTTGGTCTGGAAGAGTCACCACACTTGTATTTTTAAAATTTTCTTTAAAATCCTGATTATCCCCCGAGCCGCTGCTGCCACTTCTCCTTTCTACAAGTTTGAGCCTGTGAGAAGCCCAGCCTGCAACTCCCCCCCCCCACCCCCCACCCCGTGGCTCCCTCCTGGAGGAAGGATGCAGCTAAAGCCCTCCTGAGCAAAGGGGTCAGAGCACATGCCTGGACCCAAGTTGAGTGACCAGAGAAAACGTGTCTGCCTGGCCAGAGGAAGTTCAACAAGGAGCAGAGGTTTGCATGGCCTCCAGGAATGTTTCTGCAGTGATGCGAGTGTAAATCCCACACGGGACTTGGATTCCTGCGAGCAGGAGAGAGTTAAGCCTCCCTCTTGGAAATGAAACAGCTGGCAGGACATGTGCTCCTCCAGTCTGGATGAACCCTCAGCTTGTCGGGCACTGCTACGGCTCCAGGCTCCGAGCTCTGGTGTGGGATGGGGGGGCAGTGACACACCATGTTCACTTCATCCATCACCCGCCACCTCTTGCTGTAGGGAAGGATGGTGGAGAGCAGCTGGTGCTTCCTCGGGAGGAGGCCTCCAGGCTCTCAACCGCCCCCTTTTTTCCTCCCCAAATCTGCTGTAGCTCCCCCCCCCCCCCCATTCAACCCACCAGCACCTCCTCCAGCACTCTGACCTACACAGCAGATGCGGCATGGCTCACAGCCGGCTTTTGGCTCTGAGTAAGAGCTGCTGGGCCACAGTTCCCTCCATCACTCATCCTTCTGCGGCAGAAGGGTCCCAGCAGCACGTAACCCATGTCCCCTGTTCTGTCTCCCCCCCCCCCCCCCCCTTTTGCAGAAACACCTAGGGACAGAGATGGACAGCTACAGTCCCACCAACAGCTCCCTGCAAGAGACCTCAGGATCCACCTGCTCAACCACAGGGCAAGGTTTGAAGGAAGTTGCTCCTTCTGCAAAGGGGACTCGCGGGTGGAGCAGAACCACCTTTTCAAGGAATGTGCTCCCTCTCTCACGCTGTGACCAGCTCCACGGGCCTCCCTGTGCCCAGGACTGACGCGTGACGGACCTCTCCGCCTGCTGCCCTGTGGGGCAGTTGAAGCCTCCACACCGCTCGTTCAGGGAAAGAACTTCCTGGCACCGTGGTGTGCACCGTGCAGCACCATGGCATTTACACGCTGCTCTATAGCCTGGCTACTATGGTTCACCTTCTCAATCAACCCCATGATGGCAGAAGGGACTCTGAAACTCGCATCTAAGCAACACATGCTACGTGAGTATGAAGAAAGGTGCCAAAGCACTGCAGCATCACAGCAATTCAACAAAGCTTGCTTTGCTAGAAAAGGAGATGGTTCATCATCCCTGATGCCTAAGGAGGAAAATAATAAATTCAGTCCCCAGAGCTAGTTACACCAGCTCTGGTTGTTCCAGTTGTTCAAGGGAGCCTCAAGAACAAAGCTATTTAAAGAATGGTAAAGATGCCTTAATAAGACTACGTGAAAAATAAGGACACGGCCTGAGGACAGGTTGCGATGTCACTGCAAAAACCAGAAGGAATAAGGAAAGAGATGGAAAAATCCTAGGTGTACGCAACCACAAGGACCGATACAACGGGGCCCCATCTCCACACCAGTCACAGCCACATCTCCTGGTGCCCAACCCAGGTCAGCAGCAGCACAGCGGGCACCACCAGGATGTTGGAAATAGAAAGGGGCTGGAGCACCAATAAACACACATCTTCCATGTGTCCCAGAGCAAGGAGCTACAGGTCTGGTACACACGGGGGGTGGGAGGGCAGCCACTGGACAACCTCCTCCCAGCAGCTGGATGCTTTGGAGGTCCCTCTCCATTCTGCTGGCCACACGCAAAGGCTCAGTTTCTAGCCAGACTCCAAAAGAATGGCAGAAGTGCTACAGCCAGCCCAGCTGCAGGCTGGCAGGATCCCGGACGGTGACAAAAAGGGATGGTGGCAGGCAGATCTGCCCCTCCAGGCCAGCGCAGTGGGTGCCAGCCCAGGCAGAGCGGCTGGAGTCGCCACGTCTGTGCTCCACAAACGCGTCGCTGGCACCAGCCACAGAGCTGACCCCGGTCTCCAAGCGGCTCGCACAGCGCCCAACGCTGCAGACACCACTTGTGATGGTCACCCAGGTGGGAGAATAATGGGATTGCGGGGGGCAAAGGCGCAAGAAAAGAATGCTGGGAGCAGTAAGAACTCTTCCCCCAAAAAAGCTGGTTCTGAGAGCCCAGCTAAGGATGCGTGGGAAACAGGCTGCTGTCCTGCCTGCTCCCTGGAGAGCTTGGCAGAGAGTTCACTCACCCCTGTAAGCCTTGAATCAGCTTTTGGTAACCACTTGGTAGGGTAGGAACACAGAGCAGCAAGAGGAATCATCTGGAACAAGATGGCTCCAAGAGGAACACGGGGGGAACCAAGAGGAACAAGATTTGGCTCCCCTGGTACAGGAGAGATGTCCACAGACTGGGAAGCACCCAGCAGAGGCCACTGAGGTGGTCAGAGGCTGGAGTACAAGGTGTATATGATGGATTCCAGCTATTCCAATGCCTCCGACCCCTGAATCGATCCTTCATCTCACTTCAAAGTCCTCCCACGCTACTGTTGATGTGACTGCTCTCACTCACTGATGTGGACCCTTGACACATGAACCCTTGGCCGTGGGGAGAAAAGCCTGGTGGTGCAACTCAGCTCCATGAAGCTCTCTCCACAGAATCCCTTGAAGCACTTCAACCAAGGCTCCAGGTCTAGCGTTCCCAAAACGTTGCTCTCAAAGAGCCACTTTAGGCTCAAAACCAAAGGCCATGTTGTGCAGGGCTGCGGTTCACCACCCCTGAAAACAGGTTTTCACCCGGTTCCTGGGAAATGTGATCCTTCTGAGAGGCCCTGGCTGCAACACTGAGTTTGAGGAAGGGAGGTGGAGTGGTTGGTGTCCAGAGCACATGGGTAGAGCGTGCTACAGCTCTTTGGTGGTGGCTCTGGACTGAGCAGTGGAGAGCTGAGACCCTCCGAGTGTGCAGACACGGCCGAGCTGGAAGAGGTTTAGTTGTTACAGCTGCAGCATTTCACATGCCGTGGGAAGGAGGCCACAGCCAGAAAGCCTCTCTTGGGGCTGCATGGTGAGAAATGTTGCCTGTGAGCAGTGTCTGGCTGTGGTCTGGAAAACCTTCTTCTAGGATCTGAAGTCAGCCCAGCAGAGAGCAACCTACATGTTGACCTGATGTGATGGAAGTCCTATATCCAATGCCATCAGCATTACAACACAGGGTCATAGCTGAGACCTTGTCACCCTCACCAAGAAAAGGGAAGCCAGCAGTTTCTATTAAGGGCTACGCAATCATTTACATGGCTTCACTGAAGGACTCTTGGGGGAAGTGGCACTGTGAGGGACTGCCCCGATGAAGCAGAGTCTCAGCTGGGGTGTTCTTAGTTGATCTGTGCCTGAACAAAGCACGAGGCACTTGGAATAACAAATCCCAAATCACTTTTATAAAAGCAATTTTTAAATAGCACGCAGCCTCTGGTTAGGTGTACAACTGCATTCAAAGTTAAAGACCTTAATTCAGTCTGGTTCTGTTTGTTTTTTAAAATGACTGCAACAATTCAAACCAAGTCTCAGCTGACATGAACCACCAAGGAGCAGCCAGGGACACTCAAAGACCAACAGGCTTTGAAAAATAACCTGGGAAAATCAAGTCAGAAATCTCACCTCGGAATCAGTGGTAGGTTGAAGCTTGTACCTCCACCACACACCGCAAACACATTTATCTTCCCCACACTGAGTCATGGCCTTGTCAGTCAGAATCTGAGCACAACAAGCAGAAACCGCTAGAGAAACCACAAGAATACTTGAAATGAAAGAAAAACCATGAAACAGGCATCGGACAGAGATGTGACAGCAGAAAAGCATTTGCACTCCCCCAAAATCAGAATCAGGACAGCAGGTAGAAGAGCTGGCAAGAAGCTAGCAGCAGCACTGTGTGTTGGTTATGGCTGTGAGGCCAGTTAGGAACTGGGTCAAGTGGGGAAGGAAAAATAACTCAAGCTGGCACTATTGCTTTAAGTGCAAGAAGTGGAAAGCATCACTGCTGTCTCATCTGCAGGGATCTACTGCCACTATGTGATGCACATCACCAGTGGCAGGAAGGGTGACTCAGCCCTGCTACATGCAATTAATCATCATTAAGTGCCTGGCTTCTCAGCACTAATAGCAAGGTGGTTTCCACCACAGGGACGATCTCACTGAGAAGCCAGAGAGACCATCCCATCGTACGTACTTGGCACCAGAAGAACCATGTATCTAGAAGCATCTCTTGGAGTTTTTTTGTAGCAAAGGGGAGACTGAAACAAAAAAAAATGCTCTAAGATAGCCAGCACAGCTTTGCTGAGAGACCAAGGGGGACATTAATATGACACATGACAGAGAGACTTGCCTTGAAGGAACCACAAAGAGAATGAACAAAGCAAACTCAGAACGAGATAAAGATGGTGTTGTTACAAAGATGAGAGAGATACCTGACTGCAGCCAGACAGCAGCAAGTTAAATAGTGACCAACGCCAGAGGAAGTTGCCAAATGTGAGCAGCAAAGCCAGGAACTAGAGTATTTCCAACCCAAGTACCCGCAATCAGTCCTAAGCCTCGGTCTAAGAAACGGAGAGCCTGCAGCAAAATGCCTCACCAGGCCAAGTTCACATGCTGCCTCAGGTTCAGCTACAGCACCAGGGCACAATGGGTGAGGCTGGTCCAGCATCAGAGGCTCCAGAAAGAAGCCTGCCCACCGAGTGGAAGTGTCTCTGCGACTGCAGCAAGGTAAGGCCCGCAGGCTGGGGTCATACCCATCGCTAGGACAACGAGCAGAGTGGAAAATCAACAGATGAGCTTTCAGGCACATGAGCTGCTCCCCAGAACTGAAACAGAACCCCCAGATTTGCAAGTTATATTATTCCGCTTAGCGCAGTCCTCTGCTCCTATCTGCCTAGTAGAAGAATGGCTTTGGTACACAGAGCTCCCTCTACTTTTTTAACTATATGAGTCGATCTAATAAAAATACCTTCTCCGTCTCTAAACCTCGTGTTGCCCATTTTCTTAGACCACCACGGCTCTAGCACTGCTCCAAAACCTTCGCCCAAAGGAAGCGACAGGCGTTCCCAACCGCCTCCAACACCACCTGCACACTCGCTGCCACGATCTCCTACGGTGCAGGGGACACCTGCCCCCCTGCTCTGCCTTGATTTCAGACCTCGCATTCCAGCTGCAAATCAAGCCTGCAAATGCACAAAACCCTTAAAGCTCTGGGATACACCACAGAGGTCACACACCACCTTCCTTTCTTCAGTGGCACATAAGCTCTCTGGCCGACTGAAGGCCTGGCACAGGCCAACCTCCATTTTAAGGGCAAACTTCAACATCATCTGTTAATCTTTCATTGAGCCTTAACGAAAAAAAAAAAAAAAAGTCAAGAACACCAGTAAAGTACATGTTGGGTCTGAGCTCCCTTGGGTCCTCCTCACAGCTACAGACCTAAAATTCATTTGGTGCAGAATTACAATTCCTCCCGTGCAGCCAGATTGAACCCAAAGTCTCCTAACTGCACATCAGAGGATGCAAAGCCCACGGTCCTGCTACACAGCCTCACCAGTTAAAAGTACATGCTCAGAAACACACACAGGCAGGTGGCTTGAATGCCAGCAGCTTAACAGCACTTGAGTCCCCGGGCCTGACATATACCGCAGCAGAGACACATCAGTCCATCTTACTTGGAGGTTACTCACCCACAGATCCCTGCTGGTCACTTCTGGGCCTGAACCTAAATTAATTTTCTTAGTAATCCTTAAAGAGACATTGCTGCTCCCTTTTGACCGGCTCAGACCTTACAATCCTAGTGCTGACCTTAAACCTGCAAGTTGATCTTGGCATGTGCAACCTCCAAGGGGGAGCACAGTTCACACTAGTGTTCTCAAGACACTTCCAAAATTTTGAAGTGCTCATTTAGATCAGCGTTACGTAGAGGGGTCAGTAAACACTATTATTTTTGAGTCTTAGTGACAGAGCCCTCCTAGATGGAGTAAAAGGGGGATTTGTGATTTAACACAAACACTGACAGCCCAACCTGGCAGCACCCACAGACGTTTCTTGCAGGCTAACATGACCTGCTTCTACCAAGACAATGGTAGCTGACTTCATATTCATCGGTCCTGTCCCTCTAGCTCAGCTGTGAGAGCTGAATTTACCTTTTTCTCAGGGCTGTGAGATGCGTCTACAGTGCAGCCACTAACAGAGGCAACGTCAAGTCTTCTACTCTTTCCACTCACGAAGACAAGCGTCTGAGAGCCCTGTGCTCTGAAGAGAGGCGTGCACTAGGAAACTCCTCCAATGCCCGTCGTTAGTGCGCGACAGGACCTACCTCACCAGGTCTCCTGCGGGGCTGTACGATGCGAATGGCTGGGACCAAGTCTGTGGGCAATAAATACATCAATGACTTTGTGGAGGTGGGAGAGACCTTTTTAATAAACAGGATTCAAATAAAATAATAAAAAAAAAAATCCCTCTGTACTGCCACTGCGAGAAGAGTTCAGATAACTAGCACAGAAGATGATGCTGTATATGCATGATGGAGGGAGAAGGGAAGAAAAGAACAAGCTGTCACCAACTTGATGAGCTTCCTCAGTAAAATCAGCAGAAACCAGCTCAGCAAAACTCTCCAGATAAAATACTGGTGGATCCAGGAGGAACAACTCAAATCAAAATAAAGAGAAATCCCTACATCGGAAGGCGCTACATTAGAATAACCAGCGAAATACTGAGTGCCGCTGGAGCCGCAGCAATGGCAGGGAGACAGGTAAGATCTGCCAGTCGCTCCTGGGGTCAGGAAGAGCCACCCAGTGAGGGACTCACTCAATCCTTTCACAGGCAGCGTGTGTGTGTGTGCTAGAGGGGGTGTTGGTGGCAGGGAGGTCAGGCTATCGAACGAGGTGGTGGTGGTGTAGAGTGGCAGCAACGGAGGGTGAAGGGCAGCACTCAACGATGTCAACTCCATCTTGCTCTGGTGGCTAGTGCAAATAGTCGTCTACTCTGGCAAAGGAGCAGGAGCCCAAGCCCACGCGAGCCATGAGCCGCAAACACTCCGAGGCCTGGCCCAGGGCAAGCATCAGCGGGGGCTGCTTTGGCAGGTTCTGAGATTCTGTGGGGGCAAAAAAAGAAATCTGTTTAGAAGAGGTGCCCTGGCTGTGTAGCGGCTCACCTGCACTTGGGTACCTCTCAGTCCCACCTGGGCACCAAGCCCAGCCTCCCTGGCAGAAGGCACTGGCTCTGGAAGGAAGCTACTCTTGACTACCGCTGGCTCTGCGCCGCTGCTCCTCTGCACACCCCACCACCCGTGACACGTCCCACGTGGGGCCACAGCTCAACAGGGCCTTTGAGAGAGTGCTGCTGTGGTAGCCAGAGCAAGATAAAGGCAGCGGAGCTCCTGCTGCCTCGCTGTCTGCCACAAAACCCTCAAAGCATGAGAGATCAAAGCATGGAAGAATAAAGAAAAGCAGGAGAAATTGGCACCAAGTGAGAGGCAACCTCTCCATCTCTCCCACTTGTGCAAGTCTACACAGCAGTCCAAACCCTAGAGAAACACTCACTGGTCACTGTTTCTTTTCAACTTCATGTTTGCTATGTACGCAAGAGGGAATCCTCAGCTAAGCTAGACAAGGTGCCTTGCGATCTGCATGATGAAGCACGTCCAGACACCATCTTTCACATCTCCCTGGTGACACCCCTCAGCAACTTGTCCATGCTCCTCAAGCACTGGACAAACAACGGCTAGAACTGAGCCACCCTGCTGGACGCCTGCCCACCCTGACTGCCAGGGAAAGCAAGTCTCCTTCCCAAACCATGTAAGTTCTGTTCCTTTACTCAGACATAACAGGAACCCTCACGTGTTTGTCCATCAAGCTGCTCCTTCCCCCAGAAGATAATCTCTAAATCTTCTTCTGGCACATCCAACATGAGGTGCACAGACACACTAGGAAATACGCCTGGGTACAGTGAGCTGGACTGTGCACAGGAGCCAAGCAGGGGTTTCTGAGGCAGAAAAGCTGTCCAGTGGACAGTGTCTGGCCTGCTGTGCATGGACTGAGCTAGTGCAGACTGTGGAGTGTCCCGTGCAGTTACCTGAGCAATCACACAGCAACCACACCCCACGACTGGGGACAGGATCAAGGGCCCTGCCTAGAGTGAATCAATCCCTTTCTTGCAGACTGGTGGCAGGCCATAACCTCATTATCACTATATCCATTTCTCCACCACGGTATTTTCTGTAGCTGAAGATGCCAGGCGGGTCAGCAACGACATGGGCAACTCATTGATTGCACGCACAAGACTTCCATCAGGGAAAGCTACTGCATTTACTATGCCAAGTTCAAGACAGGAGAGTAAATGACAAGAAGCTGTTGGGCCAAGGAACGTGCTTGTCTAAGGAAAATGAAGATCAGGCATAAACATTCAGCTGTGAGGACACAGGAGGACAAGAGACTGATCATACCTGGATCCAACCATGATCCATCGTGCTGACACAAAGAGCAAAGCTCATCAGAAAAAGGTGAGCTGTCCTGCTAGCTGAAGAAAATCAGCCTATAACCAGATCTTTGCACAGAGCAGGCTCCTCTCAGCACAGTTACGACCAGAAGGGAAAGAGCAACAAGGCTGGACCACTACTACAGCCCCAATTCCTGCAGGCAGCCAGGCTCTCTGGGCTCTAGCAGGCATAGCACATGATGGGAACATGCAGAGGCAATGTCTGAAGGGAAGACAGACCCACTTAACTCTGCATGTCCAACACGAGGACAAAGGTAACTGCTTTAGAGACAATGCTATGGAAACCTGATTCATTTACAAGCTGCTGCAACAGAGCAACTGCATTCCCTACCAGAAAACAGGATGATGCCAGGATAAAACTCTGCCAAGTGAAAGAGTAGATTTGCTGCTAATGCCAGTGGACTGATTCAGGTGGGTTTGGATCAAGAAAGAAGAGGGGCAGGAAACGCACTGAAGAGATCTTAGCTTTCTCAGTAGGCAGGGGAGGAAAATCGTCAGGAGCATCCTTGAAAGCAGCATTGAGGAAGACCCAAGGAAGGCAGCCAAAAGATTAGTTCAGGTAGACCTGTTCTCTTCAAGCTTCCCTCCCTGCATCACTGCCCTGCCAGGCCCCAGCAACAGAAAGAGAGGCAAAAGCTAAACCCAAGTATTTCTGCACCTTTCCTAAGACTCACAGGCTTGCCTGCCACAGGACATCCCTTGAGAGCAGGTATGTCCAGTGGGTAGGGCTCACATAGGAACCAGGCCTTACCCAATATAGCACTATTAAGAGCAGCACACACAGGTTCCCTCTGGATTGGGTCCAGCTGTTGACCGACGGGGCAGTTCCAAGGGTCTGAGTAAGCTAACAAGCTAAATGCGTCCTGTATGAGAGAACAGAAAGGCACAGTAAGGTCATGCATGGCTGCAAACGCCCAGGAAAACTGCCAAGTCCATCAGCCGGGGCACCTTCTGCCATCGCCAAGGTGACAGGTGCCTACCTCCTGAAAAGAAATGGCCCTTTTCTTCTTGGCAGCAAGGGACCACACTGGGCCATCAAGATAGTGGATTAAAGAGGGTGCCCCCTCCACCTGACAGGGGAGCCAGCACGGGAAGGCAGGTAGAGTGTCACCTGGAGAGAAGAAGAGCGAAGGCAGGCAGGAGCTGTATTGCTTCTCTCCTGTGCCGAGAACTGGGTCTAGATGCTCTACATTCACTGAGTTTCGACCTCTGATGCCCATGCAGGCCCCCCTCTTCTTCACCAGGTGCAGAAGTGGGGGCCGCCTAGAGCTCTGCAAGGGAACCCACAACCCCAGTCCTGGCCCAGAGAACTGCTGCGACGCAGCACAAGGCCCAGGCTTACCTGAAGCATCTTTTTGTGCATTGTGTTCTTCCCGTATTCTCTGCAAAGCTGCTCGCTCAGGATCTGCAGCTCCCGTCCAAACTGGATCATTCGCTCTGTGGCAGCATGGTTCCCTCCACAGAGCTGCCTCTGGGGGCAGCTGTCTTCTAGAGGAAAGGCAGTGGAGAAGTAACAGTGGTCTTTCATTCCCCACCACTGCCCACTCTGTGTCATGCTACCCATAAACTCCATCCCCTTCTGGTGCAGGTAGCTGCTCCCTGCTCTAAGTTTATCCCAGTGGAAGCTTTTTTATGACCCCTGTGCTACAACAGCCAGTAGTGGTTTTTTCCTAGCACCTGTTTAGGGAAAACCTGAGCTCAGTTTGGTTCATGCCCGAGGATTACGTACAAATTAAGCCTTCTGATAAAATCATGACAGTTTGCACCTCCAGCTGTGCTACCCTTTCACGTGTGTAATACAGCACACACAACACGGAAACCCCTGGTCTAAAAAATCCTTGACTCAGAAAGCTTTCAGTCATAGATGCTAACACCACCAACTTCCCAGTATCAGGTGGCCACAAGCCCCATTATAACTGGAGGAATTCCCAGTTTCAGAGGTAGTACAGCTGATTCATCCTCTCCCTCCTGGCTAAAGCACCCACACACAAGGCAGCTGTAGCTGACCACACCGTGCTGAGGACGCGCTGTGCTGGGCGCCAGCCAGCCTTTCACAGCTCAGTTCACTACCTCAGCTGGCAGAAGTGCCCGGACTGCTCTGAGCTGGAATTCCTGATCAGTGCAGAACAAACCTTTGGCTCCTATTGCTTTCCCTGCTCCACAACATCACCAGCACTGCTGTGAGACTACGAAAAGCCAGACCTAGTTTTAGTTCCAGGGCAGATTCATCTTCCCCATGACAGAGGCATCCTAAGAGCTTCATTCACTGGGTTGGGGAAAGAAACCCAAGGTACGTGTTTTTTCCCCACAATTCAATCACAATTTTAATTCTCGATACCAGCTCTTTCCATTTCCCTTTACGCCTTCTGCCTCTGAGGCCCTACCCATGCTGGATTCATCCGTCTGCAGGATCTCTTCATGTTTGTAGGTGCCATTCATTATCCTGGTGGACGAATTTTCCAGGACTCCATTGGGGTAATGCTCAGCTTCCATTTCCATCTCGCTGTCACTGCGGTGAAAGGAGGAAAGAAAGGGCAGATATCTAAATTAGAAAAGGAAGAAATGAAGAGCTCGGATGCCAAATATGGTGCTCAGCAATGGTCAGTAGACCTGGAAAAGTGCCAGTTGGACAGAGAGCCAGATGGCCCAATTCAGTGCAGCAAAAGTTGTTGCAGGCTTCTGAAGACAATTTATGAAATAGGTTTCTGTTCTGAAAGTGCCTGCCATAATTACAGGTGCAGCGTGCTTACCATTTTCCCTTCAGGAAGCAGCCACCTCTGGGGCAGCAAACAGCAGCCAGACAACAGATAACATACTAACACACTAAACAGGAGGGAAATCTTGGCTATGGCAAGCCATCAACCCTTGCAAAAAGTGCAATACAGAGCACAAGGGCTCTAGGCTTAAATGTTCAAGACAGCAGTCTGAGTGTGATTGCTGATTAACTGAAATGATGAGAAAATCTTGCTGGGACTTGGGCTCTACATGTAAAAAAAGAATCATAAATCCAGCACTATCAAATGATTCTAGCAAACTGAGTTTGAACAAGTGTTTCTCACTCAGTTGCGTGCTGTATAGCTCTCAAGAGGTCACGATAGAAACTACAAACTGCCCTGCAAACTGTGCTCAGCACAGTACCCAGAGGATGAGTGCCAGCTGCAATTAGCAAGAGATCCTACTAATTGCAAGGTTATCTTCTGCTCCAGCAGGGCCTCAGACAGCCCTGCAACACCAACCTGGAAGTGAGCCCAAAGGAAGCTCGGTTCTCACCGTGGCTCAATACGCTCCACGCTCCAGTAAATGCAGCAGTAACTACACCACTCTCCCGGACCGCCCATGGCTTCTTGGAGAAGAGAGGATTTCTAAAGGTCTGACTTGCTGTCACAAGTATGAAAAAAATTACTGCTGATTCAGAGGCTCATCTGGAAGGAACTGGGCAAAAGGTAGAGGTAGCCCAAGAAAATTACTCAAGAGGGCAAGGCACCAACCCAGTAATAACTTGAGCTGCTGCCTCACCCACTAAAGGGCAGGCAAGCTGCTTAGCGGCCGTAATTGACCGGCTGCAGCAGCAGTAAGAGAAACGGGAGGAGTGGGAGAGCTTCTATGCAGACAGCTTGGTGTTTGAAACAAAAGCATCACAACATTCCTTACAAGATGAGCCTCTGAGCCTCAGCCAGAGCAAGGGAACTGGAACAGGCTTGTGTCTACTGGGAATAGTAGTAACCTTGTAGATACAAAGAGATATTCTATTGTTCAAAAGAGCAGGGCAGATGCCCTTCTGGCTCCACAGAAAGCAGACTGAGCCCTCTCCCACCATCTCACCCTTGTCAGGCATCTATAAAGGGAAAAAAATACCTGGTTTCTTGGTTACTCGTACTACTGTGCTGCTGAGATTTGGTAGAATCTGTAGAATTGGACTCAGAGTAATTCACTGATGAGGGGGAGGAGGAGGAGGAAGATGAAGATGATGAACTCAGTGTTGGGTATTTACTATGACTCTGTTTGCTTTTTGTGGACATGACTCCATTGCTACAGGTTGGACTATCTGCTCCTGAAAGTCAAGAAGAAAGGGAAAAATGAGACCAGACTGACAATATCACTCTACTGTGAGGTCAACAGTTTAGCAAGAGAGCAGGCCCCAAAGGAAGAAAGCAATGTCCTTTATAATATAGTATAATATAATATAAAATGCCCTTTTAATAACCACAAGTAAGACTGCAGATCTTAAATTATGATTCATCTTTCTTAAATTCAGTGGGGTTTAGAGAAAACACAAAGGAATATGGAAGGAGTCCCACGGCTCACCAGCAACATCTAAACTTAGGGAACTTCTAAAAGGGGCTTGTAAATAAGAGATCGGCAGAAACAGCTCACACAAGTACAGAAATTCCTGTTGAAATAAGAAGCATGGATGGTTTGTAAAGAAGTTTACAAACTCTTCTCACAAGGCCAAATATTTCTTACCAACCCTCTATCCAGGAAAACTATGAAAGCACAGGTGAAAACTGGGCTGCAAGTATTTTTTGCAAGGAGAACTTCACAGGCTTTTCACAACCTATCTTACGTTAGGGATATAACTTGATTCACACAACACTTAGCAAATAACAACAATCCTCTTAAAAAATCACAAGCTAACCTTCCTTATTCAGGTGAACAGACATCACTGAAAGGAGAGTCAGGCTTGAAATCTCAATTGCTCCCCCACAGAAGGTGCCTATCAAGCTGTGGAACTCATTGACACAGGACATGAACCTTTGGTCATTACCACAAGTTTTATAAGGATTCAAAAATGACTGGCTAAACTTACAAGGGCTATTTAATACCAAGACAACTGCAAATCATTTGGGGCTTAAATTTTGGAAAAAACCTCACTGTGGTCTTGCCTTCTTCATATATTCTTCCCTAGAAAACCAATACTGACCACAGGATCTTGGCTACATGATGTGACCTGGCATGGCTGCTTCTCTAGAAGCAATGGTGATATACCCAAATTTATCAGCTGATCCCACAATTATATTTATAGCTAGGAAATTTATTTATATTTTTATCATGACAACACAAAGATTCAAACAACAGGCTGTTTTGTGCATTTTAATGACAAAGACGCAGTAGACTGTGCACAACAGTTCTGCTTAATCCTTGAAACATGCACTGATGAAATTATCATTACTTTGAAAGCACAAGGTCTGACAGAGAGAACTGTGGAAGGTGATGTCCCATGTATGGAGCCAAACATATATGAATGCTGCCTTGGGCTGCAGGTGGGGTTTTTTTCTGTAGGCATCTCCTGGTTGACAACAGGTATTACCAAGAGCTTTTATGAACTGATGGGTTCATTCTGACTATTTAGCCAGAGAAACATACCCAGGGTTTCTCACCACACAATATAGGAAAACAAAAGTATTGGCTTGGGAAGGTGACAGCTTGGAGGCATTCAAGTAATTGTCTTCTTTTTCCTTAAAGGTTTGCCTGCCCACAGTTTGTCACACGCAGCGGTGGAAATACCAAAACAAAATGCATGCAGATGGCTGTGAGTAGCTCAAGGCTCAGGGAAGCAGCTCAGACTGTTTTCAGGGGCTCTGCAGGTCACACTCCCTGGCCCACTCCATCTTCAAAGCTGTAGTCAGTAATTACCTAGGTGTCCTGGGTTGAGTGAGTGGTGGAGTTTTTTGGTGGCAGGGGAGGGGGCTATCGGGGCGGCCCCCTGTGAGAAGCTTCTCGAAGCTCCCCCAGCTCCACGTCAGCTCCACTTCTGTTTGGGAAATTGAGCCAATCGGCTGTGCCTCTGCGATAACGTATTTAAGAAGGGACGTGGTGATGGGCAGTGGGACTGGTGAGGAGGAGTTGCTGCAGCTGCGTGAACACCAAGGTCAGTGGGGGAACAGAGGAAGAAAGGAGTGGGGAGGTGTGCCGGAGCAGAGACCCCCCTGTATCCTGTGGGGAGACGGCAGGGCGGCCCCCCCCGCCACCCATGGAGATCTACGGTGGAGCAGACACTGATTTACGGCCTGTTGCTCCTGCTCTGATGATCAAGGTTCTGTGCCCGAAGAAGGCCGGGGTCTCATGGGAAAAGGCAGCCCCGCTGCTGTAATTCAGCGCTGGGAGGATTGCAGCATGCGGGGGAGTCCCACGCCGGAGCAGCTCGGGAAGGGCTGCAGCCGTGGGAGAGAATCCAGTCGGAGAAAGTTGGTGACCCACAACAGAGCAGTGTGGGGAACGCTGTGGCCCATGGGAGGAATTCAAGTCAGAGTAAGTTTGTGGAGGACTGTCTCCTGTGAGAGGGGGACCACGATGGAGCAGGGGGGAACAAGTTTTGGACACTCCCCTCACCGAAGATGAAGGAAGTGGCAGCACTGACTGCACCCCCCATTCCCTGCCCCTGCACCACTGGGGGAGGAGGTAGAGATATCGGGAGCAGAGCTGAGCCCGGGAAGAAGGGAGGGGTGGGGGGAAGGTGTTCTCAAGATGTGGCAATGCTTCTCACTGTCCTACTCTGTTATGTGTTGTTAGTGTCTGTAATAAATGTATGTTCTTTTTTTCCTTCCCCTAACGAGTCTGCCTTTTGCTCATGATCATAAAAGGGGGATTTTCCCCCATCCCAGTCCTATCTTGAACCCCAAGCCTGGCTCTCTGTCCCTTCTCATTGCCGGAGGGGAAGGGAGAGAGAGGTGCTGCATTGTGGTTGGCTGTCAATCAGGCCTAAACCACGACACTAGGGAAGATAACTTGGGTGTCCTGGTTTATCTTCTTCTTTCCACTTCAAATCCTAGTTTAATTTCCCGAACTGCAAAGAGTTGATGCTCCAGAGATGGGTTTTGCAAGTACAGAACTGTTCCCTTTTCACATGTTTAGAGCTTGCAAGGTAAAGTCTGTGGGGGACGAAGAAGCTCTCATTCAAGGCATCCCCCTAACCTTTTGCTCAGCTGGCCAGAACAGTGCATCTTCTGCTTGGTTCTTACAAGAAGGCAATTCTTTTGCAGACTCCAGGGCACAGAAAACAGGCTTTGTTTTCCAGACCTCATCCTACAGCTTGGTCAGTGAAACACTGAGTCACTAGCGGCTACAGTAGGCGGCCACCCTCAAAAGCTTCTTTATTCTGAAAAAACCCTGCTCTGCAGACAGTTGTCTGTGGAAGATAACAAATGCAAAACCAACTCTGTAACAGTATAGAGACACACATGATAACAGTATGTCCTCTCGGCTGGGTATCAGAAAAGAAAGAATTTCACAGAATAATGCATGGAAGGTAGCAGGTAATGTACTACACAGCCACGTTCACCTTTGGCATTTGCTCTTCTCACTAGGAGACATGGAAAACACACTTACCGGTACTGTGAACGTGTGAGTTGCTTGATCCATGTCTAGGACTTAAGCTGGGGGACCCGGGGTAACTGTCCTGGGATCTGGGGCTGCGGGCACTGAAACAACGTACTTCACTGTCTGTCCCATTCACCATCTCCACAAACTGCCGACACCTGATTTCATAGGAGGGAAGGAGAAAAGGGTGCGTGACAGCCAGGATGCTCCGCATTGAGGTTTCTTTAGGTATTGAGTGGACAAGTCCTACAAACTGCATAGGACTTAAATTTCTTGGCTTTCAAAAGGAGGTTTTAGACTCCTGGTACCTTTGTATTGCGAGTCCTCTGATAACGCTATGGGAGGAAGGAGTTCAGATGCTAATGAACGTTTTTCTTCCCAAAAAGAAAGTTTATTTCCATTGTGCTAAGAAGAAACTGTTCCTTTACAGAATGCTTTCATCTCCACCACCTCTGCAGGTACTCAAAAATTCAATTGTTTAGGTTTTTGTTTTCAGGCAGAAGATACTAAAAATTTGCCAAGCATCATCATTTCCCCACTACTCCATCAACCTAGAAATACTGATGGCCAATGGAAAATAGAGAAGGCAGGGTGAAAAATGCAATATCCACAGTGACAGTGAGGACAGCTCCTCATTTAGCCTTACTGGGAATTGTCCTTGTATGTCTCAGGAGGCTGGGGAGAGCCACTCTGTACAGCTGGGATAACTGGAACACATAAGCACCTTTCTCCTTTAGTCTCTACCCCGGATAGCCTTTTCCATACATCTGCCTTTCTAGGAACCTTCACAGTGACTGCCACGTGCTCCAGTATTGGAAGATCTCCACAAGACAAGCAAAGGCCACCTGTGAAGGAATTTCTGGCAGTCATCAGAGCTAAAATTTCACCCACCTCTGCCTGACCTCACGAGGCAAAGCCATACTGGGTCTGAGCAGCAACAAAAGGGCTACATCTACATTACTACAAGCACTGTGCAAAGGACTGAATGTACATCTTCTCCCACCTGCTCCCAAAGCGATCTCAAACAGTTTGAATTCGAACCAAGGTGTGCAGCCAGACTGGGTGGCTGGACAGCCTCTTTCTTCTCTCCTTCATCTACACAGTTCAGCATTAGGGAGTATAAAGCTATTCATACTTACTTTAACATGAAGAGTAGGTTGGGGTTATGTTCTAGGAGGCCAGGATAGAGCTGCTGGGTGGCTTCTATAGCCTCTCCCACTCTGCCTGCTAACACTAGCTTCTGTATTCCTGAAAGCAAAAGGAGACCTACTGATACACAGGACCAACCAAGAACAGCCAGAAAAATTGTCTCACATATGCCACACAGCTCCCCACTACCACCTTGCACAGGGGCTAGGGAGAACTGGAGACCACATTTTGTTTATTATGGATTAGGGTGAGGTAAAGTCTGTGAAAATGAGGGAGAATCTGTTAGTAGCTCAGCAACAGCAAGAGTAGAAGGATCTGAAAGATGAAGTAGGTGCGCTGGGGTGGGGTGTTCTGGGGCTTCGGTCCTTTAGTCACAGAGCTATGCAGCAATGGAAAAGAAAAGAGGACACAAGAGCTGGATGGGAGCTAAGAGGCTGCTGGGGAAATGACAAGTTCAGAGGGGAAGTCCCTAGTTCACTCCCCCATTACATTCTCTGGCTGGTTCATGCTTGGGAGTATATGTATGGCTGAGCATCAGATAAGCAGAGTATTCTTAGAGGGTCTACGGACTCAAACCATAGCACAGTAGTGTTTTCCCAATATCCCTACCTCCAAGTAGAAGTAATTATGCCAATAAAACTGGGTTCCTGCAAGTCCCACCTCAATGTATTCCCACTGAAGTAACCTGAGCTTGGCCTGCAATAAGGATGTGGTGCTTGTCAGCTAGCTTCAAGAATCAGTTAGTGACTAAGCCAGAAACAGCTCAATGAGTTATACGCTTCTAGGAGGTGCAAAGATACAAGGCAGAAGCCTGTATCATCCTGGGTGTTCATGTCCCATGTATGTTACTTCAGTGGGTCAAAAGACACAAGCGCAAGACTTGAGACCTCACCCCTGAAAACTCAGAGAAGCTGCTATCTACAGAGGTTCACATTTTACTTTTTTCCTAAGTGTACTAAAAACCAAAACCTAAATGTACTTAAAACTAAAAACGCATTGCACTTCACTCTCTGTTTTTCCGGGTCTCCTTACAGACAATGGATAGAAGGTTTTGAATCGCCTGTGAGGTGCTTTGCAAGCAGAAGCTGCAATAACAGGCTGTGACTTTCACAAGTCATGAGCAGTTCAAAGCCCAGCCCACTAATCCCCATTAGCAATCCCCAATAACAATCTGCAGTGACTTGTCTTGGCTCCCGTTTCCAAAGATGTGGCTCTCACACCAACCTGTGTGGCAGTCTCCCTCAGTTTGCTCTGTTTCTTCTACTTACTTACATGTCGGTTTTCATGTCTCGCTGCTTCTGACAGCTCCCTTCTTTGCCTTGTTTGGCAACTCTCACAGATGTCATTGTCTTTTATATTTTCCCCTCTTTTTGTTCCCCCATCTGTGTTTTCCTCACACCTTTTATTTAAGCCCCAACTCCAGAGCTCTATATTCCTTCTCTCCATCTGCCTTGTCACCTGTCCTCAGACAAATGAGACTGCACTGTCTTGTGTGCCTCCTGTTAGGCTTTACCAATTATACCCACACCAGCAAGAACTCTGGTTGGGGTCAGGGTTGCATAATGCATGACCTGGAAAGCATAAAGCCCATCAGCACTAACAGGCAGCAACTACAAGTTATTTTGGGTACTAAGCAGAGTCCCCAAATGAACCTGAATGCTGGCTAAGCATATGAAATGTATGGAGAGCGAGCTACAAAGGGGCACGATGCTCCTGATACATAACGGTCACGTGAGAAACGGTTCACAAAGGGAAGAGAAATGTACAGAGAGGGATGTAGCCTGTATTCAAAAGCCAGGAGAATGCAGAAAACACACCAATGTTCTGTGACTCTGCAGTGTGAGCCCGTGAATAGAAAAGCTAAAAGAAAAATACAGCAGGAGAAAGCTGCAAGCCTTATTCTGCAGGAACCAAAATCACTTACAGCCTTACCAACTGAGAGATGAGCCACTTGGGAGGAAACAGCAGTAACCAAAACACAGAACACAAATCCTTCATCTAGTGTGAGCTAAACACTTTGGCTGTGAATTTGCAAAACCTCTAGTATGCAAAAAATTTACCTGAAGACGAAACATGCAAAAGGACTGGAATACTCACTGACTCTGGGAGCTGTCGTTAAAATAGATTGATGTGTCTGGGCCCCTATGATCATGCTCACAAAACTTCCCCTGCTGCAATGGACTGCATTGAAGAACCCAAATCCAAAGGGATCTCCAGTGCACAGTGACCTCAGTTCAGGTAAAGTCCAAGGTAATCATTCCACCCTCCACTGATTTGGCGCTATCTCCCAGAAAGCACTTTCTGCCCTAGATAACACATTTAGCTCGATGTGTGAAACTGCTGGACTCAAAGCTGAGAGTGACCTCTTCTCTTCCAGGATTCAGCCATTCATTTTCAACAAGACTGAGGAAAATTAACCAAGTTGATCAGAAGACTTAGCATATTCAACATTGCCAGGCATGCAGGTCAATTCTCAGAGCAGACAGGCAAAGGAAAGAATCGGGCAATTCTTCAAGCAAAGGCAGCAGAGGGTGTAGGGGACACAGTGATGATGGGAGAAGTGCTCCCAGCAGTGGTCCCCAAGTCCTGCTGACCCACAGGCAGCAACGCTAAGTTAGCAGTGTGCTGTGGACAACTTTGTACTCTTGTGGAATAACTTTTCTACTCCCACAGCACACTTCATTCCTCTGCAGAGTCCTCAGGGGAACACGTGGCCAGCGTGCCACATTTTGGGAACAACTACCCAAGAGACTTACTTTGTCTATTCTTTATTGAGGTCTGTTCTTCCTGGATTGTGGTGTCTGTGACTCTGGCAAAGGCAGTTGCTGTCGAACAGTACCCATGATGAACCAAGTATGACGAAACCATACTAGAAAAGAAGAAAATACATACAGATTAGGAGACAACGGTAAAACAGAGTAATCACACTGGAGAAAAAAAGTCAACACAATAGATGTTGCAATTTCAGTGACCACGCTCAACTTGCTTAGGACATAACCAGGGTCCTACTGTTGGGTCCAGACAGTGTAAATTTACAAGATAGGCACCTTGTCCTCAGCAAACAGAAGGGAGGCTCTGAATTCACCTTATGGGAAAAAAATAAATAAATTAAGACTCCCAATGCATATGCAGTATTTATTTATTTATTTAACGACTGCTGTCCAAGAGTCACTTGAAAGACCTGAGTACTGTGTTACTGCTAGTGATGTCCTATATAGCTAGAACACCTGAACCTCAGAGAGCCTTATGGCTTTCAAGTAGGTCTCCAAAAAAAGATTCTGGTCCAGAGCTTCTTCCGTCACTTATTTTGTCAGTAATTATATCTTTGGTAGTTGAATCTCCTTATTAATTCCACAAAGTCACAGATACTTCTATCTGCTGATTCAGAAAAAGTAGACTGTCAACATTGATTTTACAAACATTAGCACAGTTTTAAGTTGTATTTTCAAAAAATGTTGGGGATGGGGAGGTAGTATCACTGTCAGAAAACAAACACAACAAAAATGTCTTTCTGAACAGACCATTTCTAAAGCACTTGTGCCTTCCCAGGATATGGAAGGTAAATGTTAACGCTCACTGGATTTTAACAAAACCTAAAAAGCTAACACAGGATTTCAAAGCTTCCAGTGATGAATCTCAAAATAGGCTTCTCATGATGAAGCTGGTATTGATCCAGTCAAGTCACAGCTCAAAACACACATTCAACTTGGCTGCTTTCAGTACAAGACAGAAGTATTTTATGAGTCAGCAACAATTTTCAGGCATAACATTGTAAGCAGGTGTGTAATTTTTAAAACTTGTTTTAAAAATCAAGTGCTCCTGATCACTCCTGCTACAAGACATCCCCTTTGCCCTTGGCATGGTACAGACAGGTGGAATAGAGTGCATCCTCCTCTGTCAAACCCAGCAGCCAGGTCACCCTGCCTCAGCCTGAAACACTGCAACAGTGAACTCAGGCTGAAACACTGAACACAGTGATCCAGGCTGGCAGGAATGGAGAGGAAAAGCCAACTCTTGTTTCAGTGTATTTCAGTGAACAAAGTCAAAGGCTGCAAAGATTTAAATGCTCTACAAAGCTGTACAAAAACTGAGCTCCTCTCTATGCTGCTTCTGCCCGTGGCATCACAGGAAGCGTCCTTGCGTGGGTACACAGCAGTATTACATGCTGGTCATTATGCCAGGCTAATTTTCAGCAATGCCTGATCAGTTCTGTGTCTCAGCTACTTACTACAGCAGTGCTGCACACTCTCAAACATTCAGCAGCATGTCTGCATCCATTTCCCGAAGTTCTGGAGGAACATTATTGCACTCCGCTGCGACCTACGTGACATGTTCATGCAGACAAAAACCTTTCAGGATCCCAGGTTCTCCGAAGCAAAAGCTGTTACTGCTTGGGAGCCACGGCTGAAGCTTGTTGAAAGCAGAAGTGCTCACATCACAGGAGCAGCTATCCCGGTGCTGCATCTAAGGGTGCTTCTCTCACCTAGAGCGGTCATGGTGGTAGTACCATGACTGCCTGTGGTTTTTTCTTCTTTGAAACAGAACTCGACTGCACACTTCTCTGTACAAATCATGAAGTTTTCCTCCTTCTGCATAGCACCACTTACATTCTGAAACAAACAATGCTGAGTCTTCCCGCTTTATCGGAAATAGGGACCTACATCGTTCCTCCTCCCATAATCAACCACACCAGCTGACCTCAAGTCTCAGATGACTCCTACTCAGATTCTTCATGGCAAGAGCTAAAAATATTAGAGATCCTGTAAGACTGTAACAACACACAAAGAATATGATTATCCACGTGAGTCCCTGTCAAGGTTTCAAGTACTTGAAAACCTTGTCAGATCGGCCTCTCCAGTGGCAGCACATCCAGGGGTGCAACACATGAAAAATTCTGCCAGGCTAATTCTTCCTCTGCTCTCCAGGGAGGCGCTCCCTACAGCAAAACTTTCCCATGACAGCCTCTCTAAGACTGCACCCCTCAGGATCTGTCAGGTAGGAGAGTCTTTGAAGAGAAGGAAATGCTTAGCTGCACAGTTAGAGATTAAATAAGATGCTACAAACCCTAACAAAGCCACAGGACAAGAAAATATTGGCCCCAGAGCTTGGAGATCCGACCTGAAACAGCTGGGCTCCTAATGTGAGGTAAAAGCCCTGACTTAAACCTGTCTATGGAGAGAATGAAGATGGGAAACTTGATGCTAATTCTTAAAAAGAAGTCCAAATGAGATAGGAGGAACTCCAGAGTGGTGACCATGACATCTCTACCATGCACGTCAGAAGGAACAATTCTGGAGAACACGAAGAACAAATAGAGTGATAAACTGGTCCTACCACAGAAGAATCAACAGCTTTTGTAAAGGGAAGGTCCAATGTGGCAAAATATTCAGTTAAATAATGGGGTGGCAAGAAATGATCAGTTTTACCAGAGAAAGGAAAAAATACTCTAGTGCTACAGGAACCTGTGCTATTAACATATTCACAAAACCAGACCAGTGCTCTTACCCAATACAGGTGCTTTTATGTTCAAAGATGCAGGGCACACACTTTTTTTCAGAACAAGTTGCCTTTTGAGCACTAGCAACTAAGTATTTCCATTTAAATATCAACGAACCTCTTCTTTCTCCCCGGCTGCTAAGCAAGCTTTCTGAAAGAGGATCCTGTCTTTCAACAGCCTGATAAGATGCGTTGCAGACATAAAGTCAACCATCCGGTATATCAAAATGAAAATTAACACTAAAGTCAATGCCAGTTGTTACATCTCATTCATGCTGGGTCAGACCAAACACCCAACTAGCCCAGTACTTGTACCTCCCAACTGGCAAAAGCAAATGACTAGAAAAAAATAAAGGAACAAGGCACATCTGAAATAATACTTTTTCTCATCACTCTTCCAGCTTCCAATGATCAGTCAGATACTTCCTGTCCTAGAGGTGGTAACTCTCTACAACGTAGGTCCGACAGATTTTTCTTTCTAATAATGTCTCCAGCCACTTTTTGAACCCATGCTGTTTTCAAGGTATCTTATGAGGATTCAGCAATGAGCCTTGTTAAACCTCATACAGTTGGCCTCGGCCCATCGCTCCAGACTGTCCAGATCTCTCTGTGGAGCCTTCCTACCCTTAAGCAGATCAACACTACCACCCAACTTGGTGCTGTCTGCAAGCTTACTGAGGATGCACTCCATCCCCTCGTCCAGATCATTGATAAAGATATTTAACAGAACTGGCCCCAGTGCTGAGCCCTGGGGAACACCACTTGTGACCAGCCACCGACTCGATTTAATTCCATTCACCACCACTCTCTGGGCCTGGCCATCCAGCCAGATTTTCACCCAGAGAAGAGTACACCCATCCAAGCCACCAGCAGCCAGTTTCTCCAGTCGAATGCCGGGGGAAATGGTGTCAAAGGCTTTACTAAATTCTAGCTAGACAACATCAACAGCCTTTCCCTCATCCATTAAGTGGTTCACCTTGTCACAAGGTCACCTGATGCCCTTTAATTCTTGCAGTACAACTGTTCCTTCACCATCTTCTCAAGGCTATTCAAGATATTTTTTTCACACTTCTGACTTACCCCTCACAATCATATCCTTCAATGCTGTGGGTCTGTACATTTGTTCCCTGCCTTACACCCACCCCATATCTTTGTACATCCTGCCTTATTTTCTTTCCATGCTTTTCTCACTGCTGCTGCATACTTTTGGAGAGAAAGAACTGAAGCATCACATGGTATTCACATTAAGGGTGCATCACATTCACACAGTGACAGAATTATTTTTGTCCTCTGCTTTTCCCCTAACAAATCCTAGCATTTTTTTTTTTCTGCTTGCTAATAAATAAATGAGCTGACACTTCCATGCAATAATTCATCATAGCCCAGAGATCTCATTCCTTCCTTGAGGGTCCCTTCTTCCCAGTCATTTCTGAACAGCCTCAACACCACAGATACCACCAGCATGCATCCAGGTCCCTCTACAGTCTCCTCCTCCCAAAGTGACAATCCCTCACCCACTCATTCTCTCTCCAGCCTCTCTTTTAAACAACTCATGATCCACATCGGACATGTGCCCTCAGCCTCTGGCTGCACAGTCCACCCATAGTTTGCAGCAAGGGAACTTCTCAAAAGCCTTTTGAACTTCCAAGACAAAGACAGCAGCCCAAGAACCATATCCACACATCTGCTGACCCCTCTTTGCAAAACCCACATCCTATTTCTCCACATGTCCAATACATCTGCCCTTCAGCAGTGCTTCTACAGACTTGTCCGAGCCAGACATCAAGGTTCTCTCATCCCACTGCTTCCTGACTCTCTTCTGAAACCCTTCATGAAACATGGCACCATACACACCATCCTCCCCTTCTCTTGACCCAAGGCAGTTTGAAGAGAAACTGTTCCACAGTGACAGGTTCACCTGTTTTCTCCTCAAGTCACATTAGGACTCTGGGTAAATATCTGATCCCAGAGACTTTCTCCACTTCCCCTCGCCTATTTCTTCCAGTGCTTCTTTGACAGATGCTTCAATCCCAGACAGAGCCTCTGCCAAGTCCCTCACAAAGAATTGTCCCAGCATGACAACATACCTCATTTCTGGACACACAGGAAAAGAATTCAATTGGATATGGCCTTATCTTCCCCAGGGTATCTTTTTATACTGCAAATCTCTACAGGCCCTACAAACTCTGGCAGGCCTCCTGCTCCTTATTTTCTTGAAGAAATACATTATTATTGTTGTTGTTGTTGCTGTTGTCGTTATTATTATTATCACCATCATCATCATCATTATTAACATTATTATCATTCTCATTATTATTTTCAATACCTCCTGCTAGTTGCTTTTCAAAGGCTTTTCTGGTTGCCCTGAATTATCTGCAAGTAACTAAATACAAGACTAGCAGAAAACAAGAACAATCACACGGATGCAATCATCGCTGCCTCTAAGTCTCCTGGATGACAGTGCCCAGTATCAGGTGTTTAGGGAAAGGATACAATAAAAAGGTGAAACACAGAGCTATCTGTAATCAGAGATATAAACAGTAAAAGATAAAAGCAACAGCCATAGATTTAGGAGTTTAAAACATAACTATGGAATTGGCCTCCATGAATTACTGTGAATATTTAAATGTGTATCTTTTAAAATCCACTTATACTTAAACCACCACAACTTCTTGCAGCAGCAAGTCCCACAGTTTCATTAGTGAAAAAAAAAAAACGTTGTTTTTAAGTCAGAAGGTGCATTTTCCTCAATTCTTGTGTTTAGAAAAACAGTGAAAAATCACTTTCTAGTCATGCTCTTCACGGTGTAAATGACTGACAGGCAACTACAGTCCACCTCCCTCAATTACCTGTTTCCAAGCTGTGGAGCCTTAGTCAACTCTGTCTTTCTTCAGGCAGAAGATACTCCTGACCTCTGACAACTCTTGTCAATTGTTCTCATCAAGTTCCACTCAACCCTTTTTGCAATGGGAAATGCATTCAATATTCATAAATTTATAAAGTGCCATAACTGTGTTTTCAGTTAGGTTGGGTTTGAAAGTCTTTGGTTTAGGCTATTTCTTGCTCTTTCATTTCTGAATTCAGCTGACTTACATACAGGCTTTTCTCCTATGTTAGAGTTTTTATGGTGTCCTCTCCACTCCCCTTCCCCCAGTGCATCACCTCAAAGTGTATGTTCTTCCATTCCTACAAGCTTTCATGCAGTCTTTGGCTGAAAACTTCTCCCATTTCTTTTACATTTGAAATAGCAGCAATCTACACAGGAAAGACTATTAAACAACAAAACAGAGGGTAAAACAATTTGAGCAAAATGCACTGGCGATTTTTGCCATAAGAAAGCACAAATTAGCATTAAAAAAGTATTTAAAGCCTAACAAAATGAAAGAAGCTGAACACCAGAACAGAGACTTACTTCTGCAGCATGGCTTGCCACTCGCCTAGTCTGTCTCCTATGGGAAACCGCTTAATGGTGCTCTGAATCTTCGCTCGCCACTCCCTCATGTAGTCCTCAATGTCGAACACAAATGGCTGCTGCCCAAAGTTGGCATCGACTATCTCTCCTGGAGTCTGGAGACCCACTGTAGGGTAGAGATTTGACTGGGAAGGAAGAAAAAGAAACCTGTATTAAACCCAGCTTTCTCTTTCTGGTTCCAGTTACATGGTTTGGTGAGACAAAAGAGCTGCTCTTTAAATTGAAAAATGTAATGGAATAGGAAGGAGCAACAGCTCTTTAGGTACATCTCAAGGAAGCCCATGACTTATTGTGCAGTTATAAGTTATTGCATACAAGCAGAACAATGGGTTCAAACTCCCAGCAGTCTACGATCGATGTCGTAACTGCTGTCTATGGCATGTCCACTTTTTGGCTTAGTTTTCTGCAATTTCTACCAAAGGTCAAGTGCCAACAAATAGTAATAAAAAAAATGAAAGGGGCGTCATCTCAATCAACAGATCTATGTGTTCTCCACTGTTTCAAGTGGACTCTTTTATTCCTTGGAAGTTGCTGTCTGAATGTTTTACATCTCTGATGAAAAGGGAAGGGATGGTAGTGCAGCTCTTGAGGTTAGGACTTTGATGATCCCGAGACAGCAAACCATCCGCACAAGAAATTTCACTACTGACAGATGAATTTCATTTTAAGAACAAGCATATGGATCCAAATGGAAGCTCTGACCTGCTACTGTAATATGGGGAAAAGAAAAAAGTTACCACCGTGAAAACACCTATAAAATTCAGACAATAACTGAGCTTCCAAAGATGATCCAATTGAAAATACGTGGTCAAAGTCTATCTAGAAGTACTCTGAATTCAGGGTATTTTAAGAACAAGTTTATGGATATGAACTGAATCCCTGAGCCCACTTAAATGTGGGGAAAAAGAGAAATGGCATCAGAAAAGGTGTAAGGGTATCTAGTTCTCATCGCTCTGGATCACATTTTTTAAGAGCTTGTTCCATTCACTGTCATGTTACTTTTCTGCAGCACAAATTACTTTTCTGTTTGCAACACAAACTTCACTAATCCTCTGCTTCAGAGCATCTGCTGATAGCCTGTGGGGTTTAGGAAGAAATCTCTCTCATGCCACTCATGAACTGTTTGGTCTTGGGTTTTTTCACTTTGCTCTAACACAACGGAGACTGACACAGCCAGAACCCAGACACTGGACAAGGCACACAGGTGCACACAATGAAACTGAAGTCTGGGAGGTGCCTGGTTGTGGTGTCTTGCTCATGGTTGAACCATGCCAGGTGTTAGATCAGTGCAGACCTCTCTCTAGGTCAAATCAGCGAGAACTACTACTGGTGGTTAAATGATCATCCTAAGGAAAGCTAGGATGATTCTCCCCTCTACAGCAAGGGGCATGGGCTTTCCTACAACTATCTGGAAAATTTATTCAACTAATTCTTCACTATTGCAGAGACCTAAGACATTGGCAATGTCAGTGGACTCTCCTTAAGATCTACTGTAGTTGTGGACTTTACTTTTTTCTAAAGGTATTAAGACTGTTACGAGGTGGAACTCGGCAGAATTCTAAACACACTGGCAAAAACGGAGCCAGCATGTCGTGGGAAGTGATTTCTTCTCCCTGCTTTCACTGGCATGGCTACATCTGCAGTATTCTGCTTGGTTCCCCACCTCCACATCCACATCCCCAGGACAAGAAAGACGTTCACAAACGGGGTCCAGCGAAGATGGTCGGAGGGCTGGAGTGCATGGCATACAAGGAGAGGCTGAGAGTATTAGCTTGGAGAAGGCAAAAGGGAAAATCTAACTATAAATCTTCCACTCCAAAAAGGGAGGTGATAAAAAAGATGGAGACAGATTCTTCTCAAGGGTGTTCAGTGAAAGGGCAATGGACACAGGCTGCAGTCAGGGAAATTCTCATGGGACATAAGAAAGAAATTCCTCCTTGTGAGGATGATTAAGGACTGGAACAGGTTCCCAGAGAGACTGCAGCATCTCTGTCCTCAGAGATTTTCAAAACTCAACTAGATAAGGTCCTGACCAACCTGCTCTAATTTTGAAATTTAAAAAATGTCAAAAAACAAAGGAAAAAAATTAATCTATAAATATACGGCCTGGAAATTGAAATCAGAAATCAGGATGATTGCATCATTGCTGACGCAGCACACATCCTCCTTTCCTACCCTCACACCAAGGAAGTCACTGGGATAGAAGGGTGTGCAAAGAAAATACAGCACGATACAGGAAGAGCTACCAGAGGAAAACACCATATCTACAGGTCAGTCTCTCCTTTCTTTCAAACCTAGCTGACAAGGAAATATTTCTAATGAGGGATCAGATCTCTTCCACAGTCCACACTTTAGACTTTTTTATTAACTTAACTTTTTAGTAAGATGAACCTAAAGACTTCCAAAGCCAGGAATCACGACACCTAAAATACTTGGAAGTTTTAAGTAAAAAAACACAAGTTACAATATATTACATTATTTTTTCAGCCACTTTTGGGTGTGCTCATCTTTGAGGGGAAGCTGCCCACGCCCAACTTCTCTCAAGTCATCTCCAAGCTAAAACTCCATTTTTCACATGTGGGATGTGTCCTCTCTGTTTAGCAACTGTTGGGAACCACACGTATCTCCACCACCCTGCCAGATGCAGGGAGACATCCTCCCAGAGCCCACTGACCAGGCAGATGCCAAGCTCCCGAGGCACACCTTCCCCATGACATTTGGACCACCTCTTGCCTCTGACATCGGTGGCCAGTTGCTCACAATCCCCTAGTTTGTCTTGACTTGGTTTTTAACCCCCTGGTCCCTTTGCACCCCAGCAATCCCACCCTGGGCTCCTCCACATTCTGCTTTTCACATCTCCTATTAATTCAGCAAACCACCAGGCAGGATAAACCTGATATGGGCTTGTGTAAATAAGAGAGTTAGGCCTAAGCATTGACTTAAATTGGTAAAAAGGGGGAAAACTCCCTCTGTGGGATAGTCACTTGTATTTGCAAGCAGTTATTTTTGTATTAACTTCAGCCTGTGCTAAGCCAAAATGTAATTTCTTCCCTTGCTGTGTTTTCGTACAAATGCAAACACCCTTTAGAGGGAACTGAAACAAGCTGAAGCAAATATGCTTTACCATGTGTGAGACTTATCATAACAAAATGTGGCTTTCAACTGAAAGTATCCATTTCAACTTTCTAACATTGCGAATATTGCAAAATATTGTCTTCATCATTTGCCTCTGAAAGGGGAATTTTGCAATAAGTACTTCAAGGAAACAATTTTTAGACTAGTAATGTTTTGAAGGGTCAAATTAATTCCTTGTGTAGTCTCACTGACATGCCAATCCTAAAAGTTATTTAAGCTTGAAGGGTGTAAAAGTAATGGGGCTTATTGGCCAAGCTCCTCACTCATGTGCGCTATCAGTCAGCTTCATCATCACAACGCAAGAAAAAGTTTTCAACCTACAGCCCCTCCCTGGGGGATTTCAGTAATTAGGTATGGAAGAGAGGCAGAGCCAAAAAACGTGTGTCAAGCTGCTCAAACCAGAGAACCTTAAGGGTCACTCAGGTAAGACTGCTGTTTCCATTCCCGTTTGCAGTTAAATTTTTAGACTGCTGCTTTAGCAGGTGAAGAACATAGATTACATCATGCATCTTCCATATGGTGGATGTTTTCTTTACCTTATAATGAATGGATATTGTGCTCGAGCCTGGATCGCGCTGCTATAATAAATGAAAAATACCACTTGCATGTTCTGTCAACTTCCAATTCCCTACTACCTCAAGACTTCTACAATCTCTGACAACAGGCATAATATTTAAACCAAAAGTCTATCTTGGGTTTGGCATCCCCTTCTTCAGGAAAGGGCAGTAACCTCAAGTGTTTGGAAGAGCAACCGAGAAGCCATGGACCAAGGGAGTAAAAAGGGCCATAAAAGGACATGGAATACATAGGCATCTGCAAGGGTGAAGGGAAGAAGACAGTAATTCAAGGGAAGGATATTGGAAGAGGAGGATGGAAACGGTTGAAGTTGGGTGCAGTCATCCTTAGGATGAAGCTGACAACACAGCAGTGGAGCCATTTAGCACATGGAGAGGAACGTCCAAAATCCACCTGGAGGCAGAAGTCTCCTGCCCTCTCTTGCATCCACAGTCAGGGGGAGAAATGACTCAGTCAAGCATCTTTTTAACGAGAAATTATCTCAGGGAGGATAATTCTCAACAGTAGGAGACCTACAGGGTATCCACTCTTCTCCTTACTGGCCCAGAAAAACAGTGTTATGGATGAGTTGCTGCTGTAAAAGCCAGGAGATTTTCACAGAAAACAACTCAGCCAACTCTGGCTGGTAAAAGGCACAGAGATACCATTCAACCATTGGAGACTCCGCCACATGGCATTTTTGAATAGCTGATCCAAAAAAAGACCACCTGACCAGATCTTCCTTCAGTTTTAATACTAACCCAAAATCTCTTCTGCACAGGACACATAGACAAATGAGCATGAGATCCTGTAAGGATAATCTGGTGAGATCAAGAAACAGCAGGATGGGGGGACGCTCCTGGGTTCAGGAGGGTTTTGAATTCAATCTCTGTGGCACTGTCAGACCTCCCTGCTGCAAGAACCCTTCTGTCTGGTCTGCTCCCATGCATCTTCCCCAGCTGTTCATCCCCTGTTTGTAACAGAGAGTCAACACTGGTGTGAACAGCCTAAAAGTGCACCTTAAATGTATACATCAGCTCACTGTGCACTCCTGGATCAAAAGATGCAAGTTAAGCTAAGCAGGACAGGTAATTTCAGCCTGCCAAATCGGTGTTGCAAAGCCCTACAGGAACAGTTTTGCTGTAAATGGCAAAATAATGGTATGTGTGTTGGATAGCTATTTTTGGTTGATAAGATCCTAAACAGTAAATATCTATCTATCCTAACACGAAGACTGCTCTCATCTCAGAAAGAGCAGTGTAGCCAAATGAGAACACAAAGTGGTGAAAAAAATTAGAAGGAATATGGTAAAACTGATTCCTAATGTAATCTATACTCAGAGGGAAAACCAAGAGCACCTAAACCAAGGGGTATATCACAGAAGTGTCTTCCTGCCATGGATGCAAGGTTGTCACAAGACCTCACACCAAAAGGTTAATATAATGGACAGGTAAAATACTCTTTCACTTGAATAAACTGTACTTGTTTCAAGTGAATAAACTACTGTGAAACAACCCACATAAAGAGGGCTTCTGGTTTACAATACACTGCAACGTTACCAAGTTCAAAGAGCCTAGGAACCAAACAATAATAAATTTAAAAAAAAAGCTGTATTAACAGTGGATATGAAAAGGCAAATTAAATAACTGGAACATCCTTCAGCATAGACACTGGCTGAGATATGGCAGAGAGCTATAAAGCCAGAAATCCCATTGGGAAGGTGAACAGGTACTAGCCATTATTTCTCACAACACAAAAATTAGAGGAACAAAATAATTTTTTTTGGCAGGAGGTACAAAATAAAGAAAAGCAAGCTTTCTTCCACACAACATGGAGGTCAGTCAAGAAAATCAGTCACTTTGGAGGCCTAAACAAGTTATAGGAACTAAGAAATTCCACAGAGGAAATTCACTTGGGGTTATCAAATGCAAAGACAGTAGTGCAACCTCAGGGAGAAGAAGTTCAATGTATGAAAGAAATGGATGCAGTGGGTGTATTTATTGGCATATGCCTGACCTGGTTTTATCTTTTTTTCCTAAGCACCTGCTCCTTGTACAGAAACATGTGGGTCTGAAAAAGAGCAATCATTTTTTTTTTTGTTCTTGACCCACTGTGAAAGTTGTACTTTTGTAAAACCCAACTAGAGGTTACTGCCTGGTGTAACTCAGCAGGTGTCACTGCCCTCAAGGGTAACTCAGTGTGGGGGCTGGTGAATCAGAGGAGTAACTATCAGCCCCACATGGATGCCAAACACGTTCCTTCCTTCAGCAATTTCATGAACTGGTTACTCATCATGGGCGGAGGCTTGTCAAAAACCTGTGCAATGAGCTCACACATTACAGCCAGCTAAGCCTGACCTTCATGCCCAGAAATACCCTGCTGCAAGACTTGGACGAGACAGGAAGAAGCTGAGAATAATACCATTAGGCATTTTTCGGCTCTCTGATGATGGGGCATGAGAGGCTACTCAATGACTTTGCATAAATACTCCCCGCAGTCAAAGCTGTATTTGGAAGACTGTGACCTGTAACGAAGTTTGAATTTTTGCTTTAATTCCAGCAGAAGGAGCAACATATTTTTAGAGGTGGTGAGGGATGACAGGAGGCATGTGAGTAGCCCACAAACCCAACCACAGGATTACGAAGTTTCAGAAAAAGGAGCATCCACATCATTCAGTAATGCGTGTTACCATTTTTTAACAGGGCATCAAACAGGAAAAAAAAAAAAATCACACCCCCACACTCTTCCCCCTCCCTTCTGTTTGCATCCTTAGTTAAAATACTGAAAATAGGTGTACTTACAGGGAGGTCTGTAAAGGCTATACCTGTGGGGGGAAAAATATTAGAATTAAAAAGACAAAGGACTTTTTTCCCTGCTTGGCTACATCCTTAGCATTCTACAAAATGTTACTGCATTTCAATAAATCCCAGCTCTGATCCTGCATTTCACCACCTGTCATATTCAGAAGTAACTTCCCTCCCCAGCCCCCTCCTCTGCAAGGTTTTGCATCTGGAGAAAGGTTCAGGGAAAAGCCTAAATGTTTCAGATATCTCTCCCAAAAATTTGTTTTTCTGAAAAGCAGTTTGTCTTTTCTTTGCTTCTCCCTTTGTTGCTATGAAGGAGTTGGTTTTCAAGACTCACTTTGGCTTTAGAAACATTTTTTTACTATAATGCTGCTTCGGTTTAGGCTGTAACTACTTCTCCTTACCAGCCGGAGAGACAGGAATGAACATTCAACACTTTGCATTACAGCTGGGGAACAGCCTTGCAACAAGACCAAGCTGCAGCCAGAGAAATACTGTGCAGGGAACAGCTTCATCCTTAACTATGCTGCTACAGCTCCAAATATGAGATAGAGAAAAAAGTGTATGGGTTCTCCTTTTATTCACATTTGGCATACCAGAAAAGAGATATTTAAACAGAGGCAGACGTTGCCTAAGGTGGCTAACAGTTGTGACCAGAGACAATGCTCAGCTACAGAGCCAGGCTACCCCCAGAGACAGCTCTGCAATGCTCTGATCTGAGTTAGGTGCGAGGTACCGTTCAGGAGGAGGGTGCCTCTCCTCCTCCTCCCCCTCCCCGGGTGTGTGCCCCCCCATCTGCCACGGCTGAGATCCAGCAGCGAGGCAGGAGCACGGTGAGATGATGATCAGCCAGTGACAGCAGCTCTAACCCACGGGGGGTTTGGTCACCCTCACCAAGAGCACGGGGGAAACTGCTGCCCCTGGTCACCTCATCGGGCTGAGCTCAATGCACGTTTTAAGCTAACATTTCCAGAGTCCATCTGGAAGCTGTGGTCCTGCCCCATGTGTGCTGCCAGCAATGATTCCTGTCCCCAGCCAGAGGAAGGCTGGTACCTACACCAGTATGCCCAGTTCTTCCCCATGTCCCACCTCTCAGCCGTGCAGCAGTCCTTTCTGGGTGGCAGTGAAACAGCTGCACAGAAGCAAGAGCACACCGTTCCCTGGTTTTAATGCTAGGACTATTTTAATCAAGAGCTGCAATGTAATGCAGCTTGGTAATTTAAACCAATTTTAGGAGTCAACACAGGAAACAAATAATTACTATTTGAAACAGCACAGACCCAAAATCAAATGCTCAGAAAAAAATCCTGAATATTTTACTAAATAAATAGTCAATAAGGTTTAACACCCTGGCAGAGAGCCAATATAGTTTAATTAACATCATGGCATGTTTGGACCTTGTCTGTTGAGTACGCTCTATGCAACCCAACCAAAAATTGTGTATACAAGTGATGTTGAACACCTGGCTGAGAAAACTGTTCAGCAAGCATTTCTCTCACCCCAGCACCTTGACCAAATATTGTTCCTCACTCAAACCTGTTTTTCACTTCGCACTTGTTTTGCTCAGCTGGATGAAAGCCTGCTTCTACCCTTACACTAGAATGAGGCCAACCTCCTCGAGTCTGCAATCTGCTGGAGTCTTCTTCTGCCACCCAGGATTGCCCAGAGCCAAAGGTGGCCCACCTTTCCCATGACAACTCCTGTAGCTATACGGCTGGGAGCTGCATCCACCACAGGGGCAAGCATAGGATTCTTGAGTGGACTACAAGGCGAGTGAAAAATCGGCTGGGCTGTCAGGATTGAAGGGTTGTGATCAGCAGCTCAAAGAACAAGTGTAATCCCACAGGGATCAATGGTAGGGCCAATACAGTTTAATGTCTTTACTAACGACCTGGACAACGGGACAGGGTGCAGTCTCAGCAGGCTCACAGATGTTACCAGACAGGAGAGTGGACGATAAGCTGGAGGGCACACTTCTATTCAGAAGGATTTCAACAGGCTGGAGAAACGATCCAGCACAAACCTCACAAAGCTCAACAAAAGCAACTGAAAAGCCCTTCCACCAGGTTGTAATATTCCCAGAACAGGACAGGCTGAGGCTGATTGGAGAGAAAGCAGATCTGCAGAAAAGGATGCAGGAGTTCCTGCTGGGCAACAAGTAGAGCAGGAGTCAGCGGTGGGTCCTTGCAGTGAAGCAGGTCAACCACCTCCTGAGCTGCATTAGTAAGAGTGTAGCTGGAGTTTGGAGTTGTATTAGGAAGCTGGGCTGTATCAGCAAGAGTGTAGGTAAAAGGAAGGGATTTCTCCCTTCTCTTCAACACTTGGGGAGTCTAAACTTGGGAGTACGATGTCCACCTTTGGGCTCCCCAATAAAAAACAGACAATGAGACTGGAGTGAGTCCAGCAGAGGCCAACAAGATGAAGATAGGCAAAGGGGTTGTTCAGTCTTGAGAACATTAGGGAAGACACTCATTGCTGCCCACAACTACCTTATGGGAGGGTATAGAAGAGACAGAGATAGACTTTTCCCAGAGATGCACGGTGACAGGACACTGGAGGCAACAGAGACAAGTTGTACCATGGGAAAATGTGATTAGATATTAAGTGGAAAAAATTCAGTATGAATGTGGTCAAACACTGAAGCAGGGGACCAGAAAAGACCCCCTGAGGGATCTCCATTCTTGGAGACAATAAAAACTTGATGAGTTTCTGACTAATGTGATCTAGTTGGTCCTGCTTTCAGCAGGGCATTGGAAGCATGACCTCCAGAGATCCCTCCCAACAAAAATTGCTCTAAAATTCTATAAATAAACTTATCACATTGCTTTTAAATTAAAGCATCTGTATGTTTTGCACCCTCTGTTACATAACTAAAACCAATAAAATGCTTTTGCTTTATGTGTTACATCTGTTGCACAAATGTCTGCTTAGAGACTTCATCTTGAACCTGCACTGCTACACAGCTGCATCCAACAAAGTCAACAGCAGAAAGTGAAAGAATCACAGCTCTAATTAGGCAGCTGAATTTGAAACTGCATTCTTTCTCTGCAGCACCTCCAAAGCCTGGATCCAATTTAAAATAACAAATTTAATAAATTTAAAGACATAAGAACTGGACAGCTCAAGAAGTCAGGAAGCAAGAGCAAATGTGTGAAGAGCCTCTCCTCTAAGTCCATGATGTTGACATGATTGTCAAGGCAGTGATATAAAGACATTAAATGAAAGTTCAGTGCTGGGGCACAATGTAATTGACACCTTCACCTGCCATCTAATCAAAGGACTTCCACCTTTCCATGACTAACATGCATTTACACACATCCCCACGCATACAACATGTTTGTGGACCTTCTAGCCCAACTCTGCTCCCCACCCATCAACAATCATCCTGTCTGACTCACAGTTGGCCATTGTCTTCACAATACGTTTCAGAATTCAATTTGCACAAAACAACATACATTTGGGTGATCAGACACAGCACCCCTTTTGCTGTATAGCAGGGCACTCCTCTGGCATCTGTTTAGGTAACCATAATCCAGAGAATGCATAAGCAGTGCTGATGGATTGCAGTAAGCAACAACACATGCAGCAAGATGGGATTCCTAAAGAGTAGACTAGGAAATGTCAGCCCATGAAATACTTGAATACTGCTACAACTTGCTGCTGAGGAGAAGCACTATTAAACCCACACAGCTCTACATGCTCTTGAAAACAGGTATCCTCCAATCAAGCCATTTGGGTAAAACTGCTTACAGAGAAACAAGGCTGTAGCCAGGTTTGATATTTTCCATTCATTTTAAATTTGGTTCAGCTAAAGTCTTGTTTGAAACCTCCCAATTCTCTTGCTCTCCAGAAACTTCGTTTGAAGGTTTGGGATCAAACCTGTTAAACCTGGGATGGACATCTGCGGATCTCTATGACAAGCAGATTTCTTCATTATCCCTAATGTTCCTGTTACTCTCTAAACTGGTTGCAGAATGGGTATTTTACTTTACAGGTTAACTTGGTCTTTCCAAGTGCCTGCTCTAGAACTCAGACTACAGGAAGCTTTCTATGCCAAGGCTTCAGAGGGTTGCATGCTCTTTTTATAGCACTGCTGCTCCATTTACCTTGGTCTGCTGTTAAAGTCTGAGATCTGAAACACTCCTACCTTAGTCCCTGAGTGAACTCATCCACTCAGCCTCAGAGATCTGTAGCAGTCCCATTCCCTCATCACATCCTATGTCCAAGACTCTCTGCTTAATGTCTGGTGCTCCAACATTTCCTACATTTTCCCCTCTTTCTTTTCTATTTCACACTCACTACACTTCTAGCCACATCTCACCATATTTTTTACTGCCAGGACTCTGCTCAGCATCAAAAACATTTCATAAGCAGCTAGAAGACATTCAAGGCATTTTCCAGAACAAAGAATTAAGACTATATATGATGTCAACAGTTTTCATGTGATGTCTCCAAACAAAGTTCAAGACTTAGCTTTAACCAAAACATGCAGAATTTGTGATGGCCAAGAAAACAGTTTTATACAGTGCTCCTGATGGACCTGATTAAATGGCAAAGTAGGAGACAATGGAAGATCATAATTAAGCAACAGGAGAAACTTCAAGAAAAACAAAGGGGATGGTCTAATTAACAGATGAAGAGGAGAAGATTGAAATGTTGACTAGAGAATAGCATCTTTAGGGAAAGACAAGGCTACAGTAATTCTATCAAAAGTGAGACAAATGAAAATGTACAGAGTCAGGGCCCTGAAACCCTGCTGTCAACCTAGCTGGCATCACAAAGGGGCTGATGAGTCTCATGAATATTTTTGGTATCTGCAGCAGGATTACACAATGACCTCATTTCCTAAGAGGAGACATACACAGCTTCAGTGGCTTTATGTTAGGGAACATGAAGAAAAAGCATATTCATCCCCTTCCTGGCAAACCTTGGGTTTACACAACACAGAAATGAGGTTCTCAGGTTAGCATTAAGTATCATGAAATGTTCAAGATCTTCAAGGAGATGCTTCCACCAGCGCAGAAAAAAATCTGACTTTCAAATAAATCATTGTTTCTGCTTCCATCTGGTCTTGGTTCCTCTGCAGACACCTGCCTCACCCTATCTGTTCTGTGCCTGTGAGAAGCAGCATAACAGCCAGAGGACTGTGATCTGTGGTCTACGGGGCTCATCTCCTCCTCATTCAAAGGGAAGCACTTCTCTTGAATACTGTGCTTATCAGTGGCACAAATAGACACCACTGGCCCTTAACAACAGTCTTCCCCGCTGAGGTTTCCATTCTGCTTTTCTAAAAAGACAGTAAAATGTTCTAGCAGCTTTTGTTGGGGTCAGCCCAGCAATGACTGATGGTCTGCTACTCCCTAGTACTTCCATCACTCTGACTCCTCGAACCACACCTCTCCTCTCTGAGCGCAACCATTATGCCACTACAGCTCAAAGAGAAGTTGATATACAAATGAGCCAGTTGTGAACACTCGGGAGAGTCTCCTACCTATAGTTTTCTCATCAACCTCATGTCTTGTTCCATACAGCTGAAGAGCCCAAGAGGAGGATACCCAGGAGACAGTAATGCTTATATCTAATGTTGTTCTCTGACCATGGTGTAATTTCCTGTTTCTTCCCATTGGCATTGTTCACCCCTGGGGTAGGCTGCTCCCCAAGAGATCATTTAATGTCAGATTAGAAAACACAAGCTTTCCATCCCAAAAAAACATCTTTGAAGGAAAAGGACTGCTAAAAATCAAGAAAGGAAGACCAGGTAACTCCACTGCTCTAAGGACCTCCAAATGTCCCAAACAAATCTCTGAGCAGGGCACGAGGCAAAGAATCGGATGGTGATGATGAAATGCAACACAGAAGTTACTGAACTGTGCTCTCCGGTTTCATCTGCACAGACACCCAGGCACTACAGGGCCCCGGGAACAGAAGAGAGGACGGAGCAAGGGACAACTTTCCAGCCAACACCCACTTCTACTCTGCAGACTCCTGGTGACTAAAAAGAAATTAAATTTCAAATTAATAAATCTGTATTAATTGAATAGAATACCTGCCTCTTCCTGACTGTTATGCTGTCATCACGATGAAAAGTAACAGCACTGTCAGGCTGAAAAATAGTGAAGTGGAAAAACCACCTGCTGAAAAGGAAAACAGCCAGAGGGGCACAGCACAACCCACTATACCACTTCTGTGTACATACACACTAAAAATCAAGGACAGCAACTAAAATGAGAGATTTTCTGAAATCTTTTTAACTATTTCAGCACCTTAGGCATTGTGTATGGGGAACTTGTTCCATTTCTAAGCAACAGTTCCTGCTCTACACCATCAGCTGTTGCTTTCATACCTCTATCTGTCTTCCCAGTATAGGATTGGCAAGGGCAATGTCCAGAGATTATGAGTTAAATCTAGAATAATCCAGCTGTTAATGACTTCTAGTGGCTCCACTAGTGACTGATCTCACTAGGTAGCAAGCTACAAGTCTTCACTAGGGGTCCCCTAGCATCACACATGGTCTGTCTGACAAATAGTTATAATTTCAAAACAGAAGATCAGACACTCAACTCTGAGCAGCTCTCCACTGGGCTTCTGATTGAGGCTCCATTTATAAAATTAGAACGTTAAAAACAAATCTTGAAGGATGCTCAAAGAATTTTTTTTCCCATTCAGGGCTGAAGATCCCTTGATATGCTGCAAAGCATCAGGAGTATCTGCTGAATGCATGGTCACAGACTTAATCTAGAATGCTTCTCAGAAGGCATGTGCCTCATTTCTAGGCAACCATCCCCTTGCAAATCATCAAACAGTAGATATGAAATTAGAGGAAAACTGAAAACAAATTTCCAAAAGAAGCTCTGTCTGCATGAGCACCAGGACTTTTTGCATCTGCCTCAGAAGAAGGATCCTTCTCGAGATTTGAAGGGAAAAAGCCCACATCTCAGATCCTTGTCTCTGTTATACTTGTAGCACAGCGTGCTACTTTCACAGAATCACAGACTGGCTGAGGTTATCTGGTCCAAGCCCTGTGCTCAAACAGGGTCACCCAGAGCTGGTTGCCCAAAACTGTGTCCAGGTGACTTCTGAATACCTCCACGGATGGAGGCTCCACAACCTCCCTGGGCAACCTGTGCCAGTGCTGGGTCCCCCTCACAGTCAAAAAGGGTTTCCCAGTGTTCAGAGGGAGCCTTCAGTGTTTCAGTTTGTGCCAACCCTCTGTGTTTCAGTTTGTTCCCGTTGCTTCTCGTCCTGGCACTGGGCACCACCAAGAAGACTCCATCCTTTTTGCAGCCTCCCTTCAGATATTTATATACATTGGTGAGATCCCCTCTGAACTTTCTATTCTCAAGGCTGCGCAATCCCAGCTCTCTCAGACTTCCCCCCTAGGAGAGATGCTCCAGTTCCCTAACCATCTCAATGACCCTTCGCTGGACTCTCCCCAGTATGTCCATCTGTCTCTTGTATGGAGGAGCCCTGTACTTTTCCCAAGAGCTCACCAGAAATTATGCACTCTCCAGACACACACTGCACTCCAATCCCACTCCTTCAACCCAGCCAGTAACTCAAAACAACTTTTGTTCTGATAAATGTTTTGAGTGGGGTATTTTTCTACCAGCTTCTTCATCTTGAATTCAACAAAGCAGAATTGACACAGCAAGGAGAAGCAAAGGAAAGGAGTGCCTGTTCCTACCAAACCAAATGAATTCCAGTGCAAAAAGTGAGATGAACTTACAAAAATTTATTGCATGTCTTAAGTGACCAAAAAAAAAAAAAAAAAAAAAAGGCAAAAATTTATCCAAAGTGGAAAATATGTCATCCAAGGGGAAGACATTTTAGGTGAAAATGGCCACGACTTTCTACTTCAGACAAATCAGATACAATGGATGCATGGCAATGCCTGGAAAACATCTGTGAGATATTCCTTTGGGCAAAATTTTGAAGTCCTTAACTTCAGAGGAACTACTGAAACAACTGTGGAATGAATCAAATTATAGGTCAGCGCTTAACTAAGACTTCTTATGCTGAATTAAAGTCTAGCTTTGTGAATGCTTGGACCAATGTGTTAAGGCTTACAGATGGACAAGTACCTTTAAAAAGTGAAAAGACACTGATACAGTGGCTTTGTAGTCAGTTGAATAATACACTAACTAAACTTCCCACTTCTTTATTTCCCGATTGCCCGGCCATTAGTCATCTTATCCAACCTCCCTCAGGCTATGCAGTAGCAGAGGAAAGGAGCAGAAGCAGGGGATGCAATCCTAATCTATTTAAACAAATGGAACAGCATACAAACCATTTTATGTGCTGGAAGTATTTATGTCTTGGAGCCAATTTACATCTCCTGACTGCTGCTTAGTGCTCTTTTTCTCTCCTGTTTCTTAAATCTTACCCCAAAATGTGGGACAAGAGTTACAACACATGCAAAATACTAAACAGCAGCAGCGAGAGCAAGGCAGGAGCATCCCTCTTCTGAGAAAACCTTTCTTTACTTACCTAAACTGTGGCCATTTTTTGTGTAGAAGCAGGTATTGTTGATTAGGTTAACACAGCAGCCGATCACATCTCCAGTGGTGAACGTAGGGCCATAGGGCTGTCCTGTCCCTGAAGAACAGAAGGAGTGCCCATCGTCACCATGGTACCCATAAGAATGTTTATCCCATCCTGCAAAAGACAAGACAAAAGAACAGGTCAGCAATGAAACCAGTTTAGCAGAACAACATGGCAACTACAGCTCTCAGGACACAATTTTCTGATAGGAAACTTGAATTTTTGATTCCCACTCCTGATTCTTCCCAATATTAATTTTCATATACCAGTAACTGAAAATAAATGAATGGTCATCAATCATAACACATCATTTGGGTTTCAAACTCATTTATCCCTTATGAGAAATAATAAAAAGAACAGATTGCCAAAAGTAATTTTGACAAAGGTTTTTTTTTGTTTTAAAAAAGCATTAAAACCCTGTTCCTGCTTTATCTTGCCTGCAGTGAAACAAGCTCCTCTTTGTAAAACATCTGTGCTTCCCACTAACACAATCTTCCAGCAAAAGCATTTAATAAAATAATTCTCAGCCAATTGCAGCATTGACTGTACGCGCTGCTCACAGGAGTAACTGAATGGTTTGGGGCAATTTTTGCATTCTCACATTTACATTTCCCTTTTAACAGTTGATAAGGATTTCTGTATCCCCCTTGGGCAACAACATTTCCCATTCTGTGAACAGCTTAAAACATAACCCTTAAATGTCAATGGGCAATTTTCAAAGTGGTTAATTCTAACATTGATATCTCTTATTTCTTCTGCCATTAACACTGTGCCTAGGGTTAAAGCTGGGCTCAGGGATTGCACCCTGCCCACTTGGTCTTTTCTACATCTCACAGTAACTCTATTACTCTGAGTTCTTGATTTTGTTCTGTTCTACTCCAATTCTGTTGTAAATTCTTTTCTGAACTTTTTACATGTAGAAATGCCAGCTATAACTGGTACTGATTGCAAAGAAGTGAGATTAACCCATGCTTTAAAAGCTGAAGTGTTCTTCAGGCAACATAATGGTCTTCTCTTCTCGGGACTCTGACCTCCCTCTTGCAGAGGAGCAGACAGTGTTCCCATGGTTGTGGCCACAGAGTGATTCAGCAAATGCCACCTGAATCTGCTAACCCACGCCTGACAACTTCATTTGCCACTATTGCTCACGATGGCTTATCCTTGCCTCTTAGGGGACCAGCTACAGCAGGTGGGAGTCATGAGGAACAGTCCTCTTACCAGAGAGCTTAAAGAAAGCATGACAAACTCTTGTCGTATTGTTAGATTCCAGAATAATCAGGATTTTCTCCAGCTCTTTGGAGTGTTCCGATGAATTACACAATCTAAACCACATTTCACAGAGATGTACTTCCCTCAAAAGCCTGAGTTAGACACAACATTAATAACAATCTCCTGTGTTTTAAATAGATACAGTCAGATCCGTAGGCAGATTGTGCCAACTGAAGCAGAAGCAAAAGAAGGTGCTTTGACCACTTAATGACCTTGTACTACTGCGTGTGGTGCAGAATCCGTTAAATGTGGAGCAATGGTTTTGGCAAAGGGACTATAGAAGAAATGCAAATGACTTAAAAAGTAAAAAGTGCACATCCTCCAATAAGGCAAAAAAAGTCCGAGCACACTGCAAACCACAGAGAGGAGCCCTGTGAAAGGGGGATGGAGCACTTCTGCAAGCCATGATTTCCCTACAAAACCACCAACAACATGAGGGCACTAGAAATTTGATCCTGTAAAATGGTGCTCAGCTACATGCACTCAGGTATCTTATCATCAGGGGACCCACATGCTCAGAGTTTCTCAAAAAAGCATGAAACATTCAGTGTATGACCAAGGCCCTCTGTTGATTGCACCACACCACACGAATGCCAACAGGATAGTCAGGGAATGAAGCAAGACTGAAATATGCTACGGTCCAAGATTTTGGACCTCGGGGCAAAGTTTGGGAGTGAAAGGTGTGAAGGACTCCTAGCAAATCCTAGTCTAGAAATGGTGAATGATTTCCTCTGTTAGGTCCCACACATCCACAGGAACAGATTGAGATGTCCCAAGAGTCAGCTCCATCTTCCCTCAGACCAGCTCCAAACGAGCTGTTGATGGTAGCACCAGTCCTGTTTAATATCTTCACGGAAGACAGGGACAACAGCACAGACAGCACCCTCAGCAAGCTCAAAACCAATGCCAAATTGGGTTGCCAAAAACAAAGGAGGGAGTGATAGGGGCTGTTGGCAAACTTCCACTGCTAAGACTCCATCCAGTAAAAATATTATTGAATATTGAGTTTTTAACACTGTGGCTCTTTTCCACTATCCCTTTTATTTTCTCTGCTGCTGGCCTGTGAAAGGCTGCCATCGCTGATCTATCATTTTAGCCTTCCCAAAACCAGAACTGTTACATGTGTGTCAGTTCAGAACTTCTCTAACAAAGCTGCTGGCAACTTCAGATGATAACTCAAGTCAATTTATCTCCTAAGCTACTTAATAATACAATCCAAATACTAACTTCTAGCTCTTCTGCATTCAGACCATTCCTGGCATTACAAAGCATGTAATAAGAACTTGTCATCAGTTACATCTAAGCAGTCAGATGCTTACATATCATGCACCAGGCAAGGCTACCGCGAGAAGTGCAACAGCATGTCCAACCATGAGGACAATTTCACAAAATACTTGTGCCAAAGCAGACACTACAGGTTCTGTATTATCAGAGAGGAAAAAAAAAAAAAAAAAAAAAAAGGTTTCATTATTTACAGATATCAACTGATCCTGCTGAAAAAACCCTCCTCCTGCTCCTATAAGACTTGTGCTTTACAGTATCGGTACTTGCTGTATCACCAAAGGTAGCGATGAATGCAATGATGAGATGAACTCCAATCAGAAATGACTGAATAAAGGCTTTGAGAACATAGTCAAATTTTGTATCTACTGCAATAGTGCCCGGAAAAAACTTGATTTCAATCTTATTCTCCACAGACAACCAGTAATATCACCAGTTAAGGAAATCTCGCTCACTCAGCACTTTGCTAATGATATACAGAGTTAATTTTTTCAACTCAAATGTTGTGTAGTACTGAATCTGGACCTGACACAACACTAAGTGTTTTAAACCTAGACTGTCAGCCTTATCAAATCACCGTGGTCTTCTTAAAAAAACAAGCCAGATTTGTTTGAGAGAATTTACTCTACTCACCATAAACATAAACTGAGTGTTGGTAACTATATGCCTAACCCTTAGTTATTTATTAATCAAATAATGCATCGGTATTTCTGAAATCCTACCCAGAATAAACACAAAGGCAATGGCATATGGGTCATTCCAGCACTGGCCAACTTCAGCCAGTCTTCTGAAATTCCCTAATAATCTAAATTAAAAATAACAATCAGCACTTCTAATATTTCTAGGTCAAAGTTATCTGGGCCTACTGATTTAAATAGTTATCCCTATCTAAAGTGTTTGGCCTTATCTTGGATTACCAGCAGAGGAGGGAGTAACTCATCACATATATTTTGCAAATACATCCTCCAACTTCTCTCCAAACACAAACACTTGCTGCAAACTTGGGACTTTTCTGCATCATTAACAATTTACTATCGCCACCTAGTAACAGGTCTATGATATTACAACCTTTCCTTTGACTCCTATGACACAATTCACACCTCCAGACACTCAGTAGCTTCTTCCTTTACAAAATCTAACATGGCTTTAATATGGGCTGAATCAGACTTCCTGCATGCCTTCCCCACACTTACATCTGCAAATTCTCCAGACATTTTAACCTCTGTACCACTTGTACTCAAGTACTTCCAGAAGCCACTGTTGTGACCCAGAAGGCAGAGATGAGATGTTATCTGCATGTTCTGAAAAAGGCTGGCCATACAGCATATGGGGTCAAGCCAGATAAGGATCCTCTTCAAGAAGTGAGACAGTGTAAGCACAGAACATGCGTGTATCATGCTCGTACTGAACACTGCTTTCTAACCACCCACAGCATAGAGACCTACTGAGCCAGATGGAGATTCTGTTCACTTAGTACTCCTCAAAGGATTTTCTTTCCATTAAATCGTCCAATCCTCCTTTAAGCACGTGTAAACATTCATACTACCCACTATAGCCTGCAACAAGGGGTTTCAGAGCATAACTGAAAGCTGCATGCAAACATGTCGTCACTTACTACTTGTATTTGATACCCTGTAGTTCTTGTACTGGAGAAGACGGCAAACTACGTATTCAGTCTCCCCAGAACATACATCATTATATTGACCTATACAAAATCCCCCATAATCATCCCTTTTCTAGACCGATGGCTCCTGGCTTATTTAGCTACTCCTTGCATTTCTGACCATCATCTGAACCTTTTCTGGATTTACAGTGTTGCTTTTGAGAACAGAGTTGAAGGTGCACCACGGAGAAGGGAATCAGGCTGTAGTTGTTCTCTGTAGGGTTCCCTAGCCCTCTGCAAGTTAATCCTAGCATTTTCCCGTTTATTATCCGTTTTTACCACTGAACTGATGTTTCCATGAAGCTACTGTAATCACTCCAAAACGCACCATTACTCTTGTGACAACGCTCTCTCTGCGTGGATTCTCATCTGCCATCTCACTGCCGGTGCACTGAGCCTCAGCTCACTCCCACAGCTCCTCTCCAGCACCTTTCACCCTACTCTTCACCCTCAGTGGCTCACCATCCTCAGTAGCTAGAGCAGTCCATCCTGGGCTGGTGAGGTGCAGGCAGCTCCTTCTAGGGAAAGCCTGGAACTACCCATGAACAAACAGCTTCTGACTGGTAACGTTCCAACAGGGCTGTGGGGCTTAAATAACATCCCATTTCAGTCTCAGTGACAGCTGACGTCTAGAGCAATGGACACTTCACGCCTATGCACAGTTGACCAAATCTGAAAATTCTGAAATGCAAGCGCAGATTCCTTAAAAATTTCAGAAATCTGGACAAGATCAGAGAATGTGCTTTTCTTCTTATTATATAAAGTAGATCATGGACCCCCAAAGGACCATACTCTAGACTGAAATCTAGTGAGCTAAAGTGGCTGGATGATCCAGTTAGCACAGTTCTCTCATTCCTTCTTTTCCTTCCCCATCCTCTCTTCAAAAGCACAAAATCATTTT